TCGGCTATTGTATTTTAAAAGACCAGAGATTATTAAGGTTCTCCTCTTCAGCTATAGCTAGCATTTTTCCCTTAAAGCCAGCTTCAGCATTTTTTTTATTATTATTTGCCTGTTCCGTTTGATTTAAAACATGAACTTTCGTTCAGGTATCTATTCAAATACTACCCTTTGATTTACCAACAGTCAAGATCGACTCCAACTCTGTTTCGATATCAGGTTTCTGGAGGACAGTGCCTACCTCCTTCAGACTGATTGTGGGTATGTCCCTTTTTACTGACACATGACCAGCTCTGGCATGAGCGCATGTAGAGGAGGTGGATGGACGCTGGTCATGAAGATTGACGGCCAGAAGGTAGGTCCTTTGTAAAGCGCAGTAAAAGGGAAGGAACTATGTTTGCTGCCGCCTAGATTCATTTATCGTAGGGAGGCTGCTTCACTCAGGAAATTAAAATTTATCATATTTTACTGAGCACAATCCTAAGAAGTGCCGCGCGCATTTTTTTGAGTGGAGATAGGTTTAACATAATTATTGGCTGAACTGGAAATTTATTTCATTAGAACTAATATATTCAAGTCAGCAATTGCCACTCAACATTGTCCTCACGACAGATAAACTTTCCCTCACAACGAAAGAAAGATTTCGAAGGAATATCCAACAAGAAACAAATACAGGATAAGATTTAGCATTTACCAAATGTAGAAAACTAAAGGTCGTTCTTCGATCGTTCATCTTAATAAAATGTCTTTTTAAACTTCCTTTAAAAAATCGAGGATCCATTTTCTGGCTTTGGCGTTCAAGAGTAAAAAGGTTTTCGGTTTCTTAAAAACCCTCACGCGCGTCGGTGAGTAAATGAAAACAACAACTTGGTGGTAAATCGATAACGTTATCAAATATAGCTTGATAACGCAAGGCAAACTACCAAAGTTAATTTGAATTTTAGACGGTTTTTTAGTCGTTTTTTTGCTCAGACCAATGGATTACACTCAAAACGATAACCTTAAAAAGATGGATGACAAATGGTAACCTAACTTGATCTACTTGTTGTTGATAATCACCTCATTGTTTGTAAATCAACTTAGCTAAGCAGCTGATGGAGGACGGTATCTTCAAACAGAGTGGTAACTCTGCCTCAAATAACAGGATCTGCGAGTAGCATTTTTATTACCAATGTAACACTTTTAGTGAGCTATTCGAAGTAAGACTAACCAAGAGCAAAATGTTCTCGCAAACCAATGTAACGCAACGAGAGCAGGGAACTTTCACTTACAAGAATATGTTTTGAATAGCTCATGGTTTTGTATTTTTAAAAAATTTGCTATTGATTTCCTCTCCATTTTATAAATAATGACGCGCTTTGGCGAACCGAGTCGTATACCGTTATATTGCAAATCGGCAAATGCACAATAATTGTCCGTCGAAGAAAAAAAATTCGTGTTTTATTCGTACTTTCACGCGCGCTATGTTAGGATAAGAATTATAAAATAATTTAAATAGTATGCGCGCTCTGATTGGCCATAAAACCATTTTACATGAGCGTATGTAAACCCGGTTTTCGTTCCTCTTTCATTAGTTATTTTATAAAAGAAATGTAAAATGGTTTCCGTGTTTACATAGCCTGATGTAAACACGCGGGAGGTTGGGAGAACACTCGATAAGCTGGATAAACTAGAGAAGTTTGGAGAGCACTCAAAAAGATAGAGTTGCTCTCGGCTGTGCCTCGAGCTACTCTTACGCATTTTTCGTGCTCTCCAAACTTCCCAAGTGCATCCATAACTCGATATACGCAAGCTAAGGATGGACAAGTATTCCTTGGTTTTTACTTTTTATTCATTTATTTTGGATTAGGGACGGGTTTGGTTAGCCTTCTTAAAAGGTATGAACCGGAAGCAACCGAAATAAAAGACTCCTTCAGCATTTATTTACTTTATAAATTAACAAACAAAAGCAAAATACTTTCCATAGAGCTCAAAATTTCTTCAGAAAGTCGGGCATTAACATCAAATTCAAGTTACATTCATTTTCAGCGTCGTTGTATATTAGTGGGATTCCTAAAGAGTCTCAACTTGCTGGCCTCTCAGGTGTGCGTCTTCATCTAGCAGGATCTCTTTGCAATCGAGCCTTCGAGCAATGGAGCAGACTCTTCGTTCCCGCCCCTTGTTCGAATTACAAGCCTATAAATTAAAAATAGAATTTTAATTGCAGCCATACCTACTTGAAATATAAAGAGCTCCTAAAACTCAGAATAATTAAAAAGTTAAATCGAAGTGTCTGGCGTATTTACCGGCCTAGAGTCCTTTTTTGTGCAAGCCAGTACACCTTCGGTTCCTTCGATCAGAAGAAGTGATAAGAAGAAAAAAACACCCAAAGCCAGTTTTGTTTCCATTTCTTTGTTGAGGTATTTTCGGATTCAGTTTGCTCGGTGCGTTCGTTTGATGTGGAAGGGTAGTACAGGGGGTTTTTATAGTGGAAAGATCTTGGATCATCTGTACCTTAAGCGATATGCCACCCACAATGACAAAGCAATGACGCAGGTGAGACTATATCTTCATCGCCGGAAAAAGTTCTCAGCATGCAGCTGAACGGGATCAAATTCATAGCAGTCTTTGTGGTGACCTTTCAATTTTTACAATTAACCCAAAGAACAAGCCAGAAAAGTGATACTTGCGTGGACTCTCCTCCCACTTCTGTTTTTGCTTGTTTGTTTTCTTTTGCCTTTTTTTCTCTCTTTTTTCCTCTTATTTTCCATTATCATAGGCTTTTAAGTCCCTCCTACACTTTAAGTGTGTAGGTTTTTGTTACTTGTTTAATGGAACTTGATATAACATTTCTTTGACATAATGAAAACAAAACTGGGAAAAGGTTTTCTTATTCCAAATACATTCTCTCAAAAATACCAATGAACGACTCACTGAAAAGTTTGTTATATGTGTGTGTCAAATTCTGATGGCACTCCCGTGTAGACAATTATTAACTTATATCGCTCGTTTCGACCATGCAGAAGGAAATTGGCGAACGAGCATGATCAGTGCAAGTTTTCACTTTACCCGAGCTTTGAACTGGTCCCCTTCGTGGTTCGGACGAAAACAAACTGTGAACGGGAGAAAATTATTATGATACGGAGACTAAACTTAAACAAAAGAAGGAATAAAATTTGCACCTTTTTCCACCTGCTTTGTTTGATGAACATCAAGAAGCAAACTTCTTTAGGTAAATTCAAGTACAATTTGAATTAAACTCCCATGCCGCTCCTGTTTTGTAAACCTTTGAATTGAAAGGCTCGGCTAAGCTATGCAGAAGAAACTTTGGCGAACCGGCATGATCCGCGTATGAGTTCAAAAATTTAGTCATTGTTATTCTTTAACCGAGTTGCTAACAGGTTCTCCTTAGTGGTTCAAACACGAACGCACAAAAGAAAGAAAAAATACATTTTCTATCTTTCTCGTGCATTGGCTCACCTCCAGGCCCCACACACCGCTCAGGTTAGCCATGTCATTTCATTCTAAGTACCCAACTCAGGGAGCTAAATTTGATTCGGTTCTTCAAACACGATTAAAACATGCGATGCAACATAAATGGTGTGGCAGAATCAGTCTCTAACTTTATTATAGAGCAACACATTCATGGTTATTTTTGGGTAACTCATGAGCCACAATAGGGGAAACAGGTGGAATGTACATGAGCTAGTTAGTCTCCTTCCAATATTCCCTTTGTTTACGTAGGAAAATAAAAAAAAGAAATTATCGTGGTTCCTACTGTATTTAAATATTTTTTTAGATGTTGTCAATGTCGCCTCAGTTCAACGACATTTTTACAGTATATACCGATGTTTCTATTCTCGTGATGTGGCGTAGACAAAGCGTCAAAGAAAGAAAAGGTGATCACCAGCCATTAACATAACTTTAGGGACAACGAGATAATCAAACAGAGAGAGTGGTAACTCTGCCTCAAATAACAACATAAGCGAGTAGCATTTTTATCTCCCAGATAACAATTTTAATGGAGCTATTAGAATTAAGTCTAGCCAAGAACAAAATGTTCTCGCAAACCAAAGTAGCGCAACGAGAGTAAGGAACTTTCACTTACAAGAATATGTTCTGAATAGTTCATGGTTTCATATTTTTACTAAATTTGTTATTGATTTCCTTTCCATTTTATAAATAATGACGCCTTCTGGCAAACCGAGTCGTATACCATTATATTGCAAGTCGGCAAATAGACAATAATTGTCTGTTGAAGAAAAAAATTCGTAAACAAAATTCGGAGAAAAAAGCAAGAAGTAAATTATTTCCTTTTCGTTTTGTAAGAAATTGTTACCCTAAGTCTTCCGCTTATTTTTTTTTTTTTAATATTTTTAAGGTTCACTGAGCATCAGTATTTTTACTGAGTAGATTTGTATCTACAGGAAGACGACTTATTTTCTAAAAACTGACTGAAATTGTTACTGAGCATGCTCCTATGTGTCTTGGGTAACTTCAGGTAGAATGCAAGGAGAAGAAGGGAGCGAGGCTTTATGTCAATAAGGAAGGAGAAAAAAAATGGTTAAAATTGTAATTTGCAGCTTCGAATAATTTCATTTGTTACATGAGTCATAATAAAAAACGATATCACTCCCTTTTCTGAAACAAGATCCTGTCATTACCGCCCACGTTGAACATATATGCTACTAAGCACGATGCCTTCATTTTGACCGGGTGGATCAACATGGTTCTTGTGCTTTTCACAAAAGGCTTTTGATAATTTGCCTTCATCACAAGGGTTTATAACACTTTTTTTACTTAGCACAGGTTTGGCTTGCCTTATTAAAATGGAAAACCGAGAACCACTGTCACTTAACAACATAGTGTCTGAACTTGAAACAAAAGGCCTTTTATAATTTTCATTCATCAGGAAAGTTGAGAGCAGGTTTTTTCCTTTGGTTTTTATATTTTATTCATTTATTTTGGATGAGGGACCGGTTTTGCTAGCCTTATTTAAATGTATGAACCGGAGACCACACAAGTAAGAGACTCGTTCAGCGTTTATTTACTTAATTAATTAAAAAACAAAAGCAAAACACTTTCTATGGAGCTCAAAATTACTTCATAAAGTCGGCATTAACATCAAATTTAAGTTACATTCATTTTCAGCGTCGTTGTATATTAGTAGGATCCCTAAAGATGCTCAACTTGCTGGCCCCTCAGGTGTGCGTCTTCATCTAGGAGAATCTGTTTGTCATCGAGCCGTCCAGCAATGGAGCGGACACTTCGTTCCCGCTTTCCGTTCGACTTACCGTTACAACTCTAAAAAATTTAAAATAAAGTATAATTGCAACCATACCTTCTTGAAACATGAAGAGCTCCTAAAGATCAGAATAATTTTTGCTTTTAAAATTAAGCTAGTTTTTTTCGCTCGTGATTAAAGGGCACCAGGTAATTTTTTGCTATAATTCAGTTCTCTCTTTACCAATTTTACTTCCTGCTTTTTTTAGTCCAGATTAAAAAGATAAATCGTAGTTTCTTATGTATTTATCGGCTTACCGTCCTTGTTTGTGCAGGACAGTACACCTTCGGTTCCTTCGATCAGAAGAAGTGACAAGAGAAAAAGAACACCCAAAGCCAGTTTTGTTTCCATTTCTTTGTTGAGGTATTTTCGGATTCAGTTTGCTCGGTGCGTTCGTTTGATGTGGAAGGGTAGTACAATAAGTTTTTATAGTGGAAAGATCTTGGATCATCTGCGCGATATGCGATATGACACGCCCACAATGAGAAAGCAATGACGCTGGTAAGACTACATCTTCGTCGTTGTAAAAAGTTCTTAGCATGCAGCTGAACGGGATCAAATTCATAGCAGCCTTGGTGATAACATTAAAATTTTGATAATTAACCCAAAGAGCAAACCAGAAAAGTGATACTTGCGTGGACTCTCCTCTCGCTTCTCCTTTCGTTTCTTTGCTTTCTTTTACCTTTTTTTTTTTCATTTTTTTTTTCATTATTACATGATTTTAGGTCCTTCCTTCACTTTTAGTGTGTCTGTTTTTGTTAGTTGTTTAATGGAACTTGATATAACACTACTTTGGCATTATGAAAAAAAATTGAAAAAAGTTTTTCTTTCAGCTGGATCAGAATTTGCATGTTATTCCAACTGCCTTGTCTTAAAAAATACCAATTAACGACTTACTTATTGAAATTAAAAGGTTTTTTACACGTGCGTGTCAAAGTCTCGTGGCACTTCCGTTTAGACAATTATTAATTTAAATCGCTCGTTTCGACCATGTAGAGGGAAATTGTCGAACGAGCATGATCAGCGCAAGTTTTCTCTTTACCCGAGCTTTGAACTGATCCCCTTCGTGGTTCGGACGAAAACAAACTGTGAACGGGAGAAAAGACTCAACTTAAACAAAAGAAGGAACAAAATTTGCTCCTTCTTCTACCTGCTTTGTTTAGTGAACATCAAGATGCAAACTTCTTTGGGTAAATTCAAGTGTAATTTGAATCAAACTCCCATGCCGCTCCTGTTTTGTAAACCTTTGAATTGAAAGGCTCGGCTAAGCCATGCAGAAGAAACTTTGGCGAACCAACATGATCCGCGTATGAGTTCAAAAATTAAACCATTGTTATTCTTAAGCCGTGTTGGTAACAACTTTTACTTAGTGGTTCAAACACGAACGCACAAAAGAAAGAAAAAAATACATTTTCTATCTTTCTCGTGCATTGGCTCACCTCCAGGCCCCACACACCGCTCAAGTTAGCCATGTCATTTCATTCGAAGTACCCAACTCAGGGAGCTAAATTTGATTCGGTTCTTCAAACACGATTAAAACATGCGATGCATACATAAATGGTGTGGCAGAATCAGTCTCTAACTTTATTATAGAGCAACACATCCATGGTTATTTTTAGGTAATTTATGAGCGACAACAGGGGAAACAGGTGGAATGTACATGAGCAAGTTAGTCTCCTTCCAATGTTCCCTTTTTTTTTTACGTAGGAAAATAAAAACAAGAAATCATGGTGGTTCCTACTGTATTTAAATATTTTTTTAGATGTTGTCAATGTCGCCTCAGTTCAATGACATTTTTACAGTATATACCGATGTTTCTATTCTCGTGATGTGGCGTAAACATTCAATTCAATTCAATTTATTTTCTTTCTTAGCTCACGCGTTAGTAAAACTGCTGACACACGTCTCGTAACTTTCATTTCATTTCATCGTGATTTTTATTTATTCAGTAGATTTGAGAAAATTAAATTTCCTCACGGCGGTAATGCAAACAGGGACATAAGTAGTCGGGAAAGTGATCAGCCTCAAAAATTTTAATTTCAACGCTTAATGAAAAAAAATAATAAATCATAGCTTAAAAACCTGTCTTTTTTTTTCTGTCTCTTAGATATTCAAGTCAACTCCCTCCAACTCAAGCTTAATATTTTCCAAAAATGGTCTTCTCTGAGTCTTTATAGTTTGGAGCATATAAGTGCTGAACGAAGACTAGCTATGTCCATGTAAGAGATCTGGAACTACACCTAAGTCAGACAAAGCTTCAGCAGCCTGTGCATTTTTCGGCCATGATACAGTTTTCTTGCTGTTCAGTATAATTTCATCCCTGTCAATTGGCGAAATTACTGCCAGCAAAGTCAATTACAAGAAGATGAATGTTTCAGACCCTCAGGGAGCCTCGTCTCGCGGTCCGCACATTACTTACCGTTTAACGCGACTCATCGCCCTGTTCATTCTGCAGAGGAAAGCTAGTACGTCATCGGTCCGTCGCGGTGACGATTATAAGAAGCAAGACGAAAGTTTAGAGCAAGTGAACGATGGATTAACGAAAGTGCTTGGCTTGTTTCAGGACATCGCTGGATCTTCGTCGAGTATGAAGAATGACGATGTTAAGAAACTCATTAAAGACAAAACAAGGCTAAGATGGCATGGATCCCGAACAAAGGTATGAGATTGTTTTTCAATGCGCAATTTCATTCTTGGGTCTTGAGTTTTAAAGAAGGTTGTTTCCAATAAAATTTGGGAAATTCATAAACATTCAACTTATGAGTTATCATCCTTTCTGTTTTCCTTTCAGAAAAGGTAGTATCGTCGTGCAAAGAGATTTATTAAAAAAACAGGTGAGAATTGGTTGAAATGTTGCAGAATTAAAAGACACTGGGTTTTAGTCTTGAGAAAGTCTCCAGGATGCGCGGTGATAGTTTTAAGCGCAAAGCTGAAGACCCTCGGCAGACCTTGAGAATTAAAGACAGGAGACAGCAAAAGAAGACCACTTTCTCCTAAGGAGTCTGCAGGAATAAGGGAAATAACTAAATAATAAGATTCGGATAGTTACCGTACGTTTGTTCATGGAAAATTATATTAATGTATATGTGCGACCTAAGTCCAATATGTGGCATAAAGAGATGTTCCGTAATATATCTCAATAGAGGAAAAATCGAATTATATCTTAGCCGAAAAGACATTTCATGCCAAAGGGGAGCGATTAAGGCCCAAATGAAATCGACTATCGTATTTTAAAAGACCAGAGATTATTAAGGTTCTCCTCTTCAGCTAAAGCTAGCATTTTTCCCTTAAAGCAAGCTTCAGCATTTTTATTATTATTTGCCTGTTCCGTTTGATTTAAAACATGAACTTTCGTTCAGGTATCTATTCAAATACTACGCTTTGATTTACCAACTGTCAAGATCGACTCCAACTCTGTTTCCATATCAGGTTTCTGGAGGACAGTGCTTACCTGCTTCAGACGGATTGTGGGTATGTCCCTATTTACTGTCACATGACCAGCTCTGGCATGAGCGCATGTAGAGGAGGTGGATGGACGCTGGTCATGAAGATTGGCGGCCAGAAGGTAGGTCCTTTGTAAAGCGCAGTAAAAGGGAGGGAACTATGTTTGCTGCCGCCTAGATTCATTTATCGTAGGGAGGCTGCTTCACTCAGGAAATTAAAATTTATCATATTTTACTGAGCACAAAAGTTCAAACTCCATGATCGCACCCATCAATCGGCAAAACTGTGATCAAAACAAACAACAGGAAAAAGGATATTAAAATCCGATAATGGCAATACGTGAAGTTGACATTTTTTATCCTAAAGAGTGTCCGAGCGAGTCTGAAACAGTATTTGTCGACTACAAAACTGTTTTTGCGTGACGAACTTACTTTCTTTTGTTTTGTTCTCACAGCGGACTTTTCACTACGACTTAAATTACTGGAGCAACAAGGAAAGCTACAATTTAGAAGGAGGAATGACTGGATTTGACAGACAAGAGACCAAACTGCTAACCTACTGTAACACACCCTTCTCCCTTCTCATGAAGTTGACATTTTTTATCCTAAGAAGTGCCGCGCGCATTTTTTGAGTGGAGATAAGTTGAACATAATTATTGGCTGAACTGAAAATTTATTTCATTAGAACTAATATATTCAAGTCAGCAATTGCCACTCAACATTGTCCTCTACGACAGAATTAACTTTTCCTCGCAACGAAAGAAAGATTTCGAAGGAATATCCAACAAGAAACAAATACAGGATAAGATTTAGCATTTACCAAATGTAGAAAACTAAAGGTCGCTCTTCGATCGTTCATCTTCAGAAAATGTCTTTTTAAACTTCCTTTAAAAAATCGAGGATCCATTTTCTGGCTTTGGCGTTCAAGAGTAAAAAGGTTTTCGGTTTCTTAAAAACCCTCATGCGCGTCGGTGAGTAAATGAAAACAACAACTTGGTAGTAAATCGATAACGTTATCAAATATAGCTTGATAACGCAAGGCAAACTACCGAAGCTAATTTGAATTTTAAACGGTTTTTTAGTCGTTTTTTTGCTCAGACCAACGGATTACACTCAAAACGATAACCTTAAAAAGATGGATGACAGATGGTAACCTAACTTGATCTACTTGTTGTTGATAATCACCTCATTGTTTGTAAATCAACTTAGCCAAGCAGCTGATGGAGGACGGTATCTTCAAACAGAGTAAGTGGTAACTCTGCCTCAAATAACAGGATCTGCGAGTAGCATTTTTATCACCAATGTAACACTTTTAGTGAGCTATTCGAAGTAAGACTAACCAAGAGCAAAATGTTCTCGCAAACCAATGTAACGCAACGAGAGCAGGGAACTTTCACTTACAAGAATATGTTTTGAATAGTTCATGGTTTTGTATTTTTAAAAAATTTGCTATTGATTTCCTCTCCATTTTATAAATAATGACGCACTTTGGCGAACCGAGTCGTATACCGTTATATTGCAAATCGGCAAATGCACAATAATTGTCCGTCGAAGAAAAAAAAATTCGTATTTTATTCGTAATTTCACGCGCGCTATGTTAGGATAAGAATTATAAAATAATTCAAATAGTACGCGCGCTCTGATTGGCCATAAAACCATTTTACATGAGCGTATGTAAACCCGGTTTTCGTTCCTCTTTCATTAGTTATTTTATAAAAGAAATGTAAAATGGTTTCCGTGTTTACATAGCCTGATGTAAACACGCGGGAGGTTGGGAGAACACTCGATAAGCTGGATAAACTAGATAAGTTTGGAGAGCACTCAAAAAGATAGAGTTGCTCTCGGCTGCGCCTCGAGCTACTCTTACGCATTTTTCGTGCTCTCCAAACTTCCCAAGTGTATCCATAACTCGATATACGCACGCTAAGCATGGACAAATTCTTAGTTTTCCTTGGTTTTTACTTTTTATTCATTTATTTTGGATTAGGGACCGGTTTGGTTAGCCTTCTTAAAAGGTATGAACCGGAAGCAACCGAAATAAAAGACTCGTTCAGCATTTATTTACTTTATTAATTAACAAACAAAAGCAAAATACTTTCCATGGAGCTCAAAATTTCTTCACAAAGTCGGGCATTAACATCAAATTCAAGTTACATTAATTTTCAGCGTCGTTGTATATTAGTGGGATTCCTAAAGAGTCTCAACTTGCTGGCCTCTCAGGTGTGCGTCTTCATCTAGCAGGATCTGTTTGCAATCGAGCCGTCGAGCAATGGAGCAGACTCTTCGTTCCCGCCCCTTGTTCGAATTACAAGCCTATAAATTAAAAAAAGAATTTTAATTGCAGCCATACCTACTTGAAATATGAAGAGCTCCTAAAACTCAGAATAATTAAAAAGTTAAATCGAAGTGTCTGATGTATTTACCGGCCTAGAGTCCTTTTTTGTGCAGGCCAGTACACCTTCGGTTCCTTCGATCAGAAGAAGTGACAAGAAGAAAAGAACACCCAAAGCCAGTTTTGTTTCCATTTCTTTGTTGAGATATTTTCGGATTCAGTTTGCTCGGTGCGTTCGTTTGATGTGGAAGGGTAGTACAGAGGGTTTTTATAGTGGAAAGATCTTGGATCATCTGTACCTTAAGCGATATGCCACCCACAATGACAAAGCAATGACGCAGGTGAGACTATATCTTCATCGCCGGAAAAAGTTCTCAGCATGCAGCTGAACGGGATCAAATTCATAGCAGTCTTTGTGGTGACCTTTCAATTTTTACAATTAACCCAAAGAACAAGCCAGAAAAGTGATACTTGCGTGGACTCTCCTCCCACTTCTCTTTTTGCTTGTTTGTTTTCTTTTTTTCCATTATTATTATTTTTCATTATCATACGCTTTTAAGTCCCTCCTACACTTTAAGTGTGTAGGTTTTTGTTAGTTGTTTAATGGAACTTGATATAACATTTCTTTGGCATAATGAAAACAAAATTGGGAAAAGGTTTTCTTATTCCAAATACATTCTCTCAAAAATACCGATGAACGACTCACTTAAAAGTTTGTTATATGTGTTTGTCAAATTCTGATGGCACTCCCGTTTAGACAATTATTAACTTGAATCGCTCGTTTCGACCATGCAGAAGGAAATTGGCGAGCGAGCATGATCAGCGCAAGTTTTCACTTTACCCGAGCTTTGAACTGGTCCCCTTCGTGGTTCGGACGAAAACAAACTGTGAACGGGAGAAAATTATTATGATACGGAGACTAAACTTAAACAAAAGAAGGAACAAAATTTGCACCTTCTTCCACCTGCTTTGTTTGATGAACATCAAGAAGCAAACTTCTTTAGGTAAATTCAAGTATAATTTGAATCAACTCCCATGCTGCTCCTGTTTTGTAAACCTTTGAATTCAAAGGCTCGGCTAAGCCATGAAGAAACTTTGGCGAACCAGCATGATCCGCGTATGAGTTCAAAAGTTCACTCATTGTTATTCTTAAGCCGAGTTGCTGACAACTTCTCCTTAGTGGTTCAAATACGAACGCACAAACATGCGAAGTAAACTTTGTCGCAAAGTGAGTGCTCAAATAAACGTCCCTAATAGACTGGAAAGTATTTTATCACTTAAAACCAAGGAATCGCTATATCGTTCGTTCATACTACCAAATTTTTATCACTGTAATCACGTTTGGTACCACTGCGGAAAAAGAAACACTACTAAAATCGAAAAAGTCAACGAAAGGGCATTGAGATATGTCTATAATGATAAAACATGCATCCTATCAGCATCTCTTGGAAAGGATAAGACTACCCTCCATGGAATCTCGAAGAATTCGAGACATGTTATTGAAAATACATAATAGTATCTCGAACAAAGCACCACAGGCAATTAGGAATCTTATTAATTTACGCTCATTTAAGTACAATCTCAGGCGCCAAGAATATGCTTTTATCTTTACCTAAAGTTAACACTACCAGATATGGACTCAAGTCATGGAGATATTTTGCAGCTAAGAAATAGAATGAGCTATCAAATGACATTAGAACAAAAGTAGGCGCCAATGAAAAAGTAAACAATTAGATTGTTAAATTTCAGGGATTAGTAAATTTGTAATATTAGTTTTCACTAGTATTTTGACTGCGGCGGTAACATTGTAAGAATAGTTTTAAATAGTTTTAAATCAATATTTAATTCGTGATTTTGTATGTATGTGTGTATGTATGTATGTATGTATGTATGTATGTATGTAACATAAATGATGTGGCAGAATCAGTCTCTAACTTTATTATAGAGCAACACATTCTTGGTTACTTGTAGGTGACTTATGAGCGCCAAAGGGGAAACAGGTGGGCTGTACATGAGCAAGTCAATCCCTTTGCAATGTTCCCTTTGTTTACGTAGGAAAATAAAAACAAGAAATTATGATAGTTCCTACTGTATTTAAATATTTTTTAGATGTTGTCAATGTCGCCTCAGTTACATGACATTTTCACAGTATATACTGATGTTTCTATTCTCGTGGTGTGGCGTAAAAATTTAGCGTCAATGAAAGAAAAGGTGATCACCAGCCGCTAACATAACTTCAGGGACAATGAGATAAATTTAGAGCGAGGAAGTATTTTGCTTTTCATTTTTTTAGCATCATTACTTCATTAATAATACACATGAAAAAATTACTCGGTTCTGATTGGTTAAGATAAATGCAGTTTTCAGGTTATTTAGTGTAGAAGAGGGTTAATTCAGTACAAAGAAGTAACAAACCAGACATTCTGATTGGTTAATAGTCAAAGAAACCCACAGATAGCCAATCAAGTGCGAGCCTTGGATGTCGCAACATTTGGATAAGCTGAAAATTTTGCGAGCGAAACAATGGCTGGCGTTTTAAGTAGGTTTTCTTTCGCCACCGCAACAACAATGCAGCAGCTGAAAAACAGCTCTAACAACGGAAACACTGTAAAAAGCACTGCTCTTTGCTCTTGTAGATGTTTAGGAAAGGGAACTGCCAATAAAATCGAAAATTACGAGCCGACCCAGCTTAACACTTTACTCGAGCGACTCTACGCCGAAATTAAAAATAAACATGGTAAAACCTCGCAAACGGCGATTCCATTTTATCGAAAGTGATTCAATTCCTTGAACTGTTTAGCCGAACTTTGTACTTTTTTTAGTCTTAAAGATGTGAAGATATCAATGTATATTATTGTTTTGATCGTGCGCGGTTGTTTTGACCGAACGCACTAAGTCTGCAGGGTTTGAATAAATTAATGCACGCGCTTTGCTTCTGCATAATCATTATAAGCCATCTCGTATTTTTTCATGTACATTATTAGTACGTAATCACATGATTTTTCTCGTGCAGTTTGGACTTGTTAATTTTTTCAAAGACCACAAATTGCACGTGCCCGTAGGGTGAGTGCAATTTTGTTAGTCTTTGAAAAAATTTATTATATTTTTCTTCTTAACTCACGTGTTAGTGAAACTGCTGACACGTGTCTCGCATTTTTCATTTCATAGTGATTTTTATTTATTCGATGGATTTGAGAAAGTTTAATTTCCTAACGGCGGAAATGCAGACAGGGACGTCAGTTGTCGGGAAAGTGATCAGCCTCAAAAATGTTAATTTCAATGCTTACTGAAAAAAAAAAAGAAATCAGAGCTAAAAACCTGATTTTCTCTTTACTGTCGCTTAGAAATTCAAATCAACCCCCTCCAGTATAAGCTGAACATCTTCCAAAAATGGTCTTCCCTGAGTCTTCATAGTTTTGAGCATATAAGTGCTGAACGAAGACTAGCTATATCCATTTAAGAGATCTGGAACTGCACCTAAGTCAGACAAACCTTCAGCAGCCTGTGCATTTCGGTCATGACACAGTTTTTTTTGCTGTTCAGTATAATTTCATCCCTGCCAATTGGCGAAATTATTGCCAGCAAAGTCAATTACAAAGAGATGAATGTCTCAGACCCTCAGGGAGCCTCGTCTCGCGGTCCGCACATTACTTACCAGTACATAGACCAAGCGACGTTCACCAATGAAGGGACTAAGAAGTTGGATGAAAAGATTCAGCGAGTAGACGAACGTTTAACGCGACTCATCGCCCTGTTCATTCTACAGAGGAAAGCTGGTACGTCATCGTTCCGTGGTGGTGACGACTATAAGAAGCAAGACGAAAGTTTAGAGCGCGTGAACGATGGATTAACGAAAGTGCTTGGCTTGTTGCAGAACATCGCTGGATCTTCGTCGAGCATGAAGAATGACGATGTTAAGAAACTCATCAAAGACTCTCTACAAAACAAGGCTGGGATGCCATGGATTCCGAACAAAGGTATGAGATTGTTTTTCAATGCGCAATTTCATTCTTGGGTCTTAAGTTTTAAAGACGGTTGTGTTAAATAAAAATTTGGGAAATTCATGAATGTTCAACTTAAGGGTTATCATCCTTTCTGTCTCCTTTCAGAAAAGGTAGCATCGTCTTGCAAAGAGATTTATTCAAAAAACAGGTGAGAACTGGTTGAAATGTTACAAAATTAAAGGCCTTTGGGTTTTAGTCTTGAGAAAGTCTCCGGGATGCGCGGTGATAGTTTTAAGCGCAAAGCTGAAGACCCTCAGCAGACCTTGAGAATTAGAGACAGGAGATAGCAAAAGAAGAACATTTTGTCCCAAGGTGTCTCCAGGAATAAGGGAAATAACTAAATAAAAAGACAGCTACCGTTTGTCCATGGAAAATTCTTTAATGTACGTGTGTGACCTAAGTCTAATACGTGGCATAAAAAGATGTTCCGTATTATATCTTAGTAAACGAAAAATTGCAAAATATCTTAGCCGAAAAGAAATTTCATGCCAAAGAGGAACTATTGATGCCCAAATGAAATCGGCTATCGTATTTTAAAAGAGCACAGATTAATAAGATTCTCCTTTTCAGCTATAGCTAGCATTTTCCCCTTAAAGCCAGCTTTAGCAATTTTTTTTTTTAATTTTTTTTACTTGCCCGTTCCGTTTGATTTAAAACATGAACTTTCGTCCAGATTTTTATTCAAATACTTCGCTCTGATTTATCATCTGTCAAGATTGACTCCGACTCTGCTGTGGTCATTAATCATTTTGCTCCTTTCGAGATCAGGTTTTTGGGAAACAATGCTTACCTGCTTCAGACTGATTGTGGGTATGTCCCTATTTACTGTCACATGACCAACTCTGGCATGGGCGCATGTGGAGGAGGTGGATGGACGCTGGTCATGAAGATTGACGGCCAAAAGGTAGGTCCTTTGTAAAGCTCAGTAAGAAGGAGGAAACTGTGTTTGCTGCCGCCCAGATTCATTTATCGTAGGGAGGCTGCTTAACTCAGGAAATTAAAAGTCATCATATTTTACTGAACATAAAAGTTCAAAATCCATGATTGCGCCCATCAATCCGCAAAACTTTGAGCAAAAGAAATAAAAAGAAAAGGGAAATTAAAATCCGATAATGGCAATACATGAAGTTGACATTTTTTATCCTAAGGAGTGTCCGAGCGAGTCTGAAACAGTATTTGTCGACTACAAAACTGTTTTTGCGCGACGAACTTAATTTCTTTTGTTTTGTTATCATAGCGGACTTTTCACTACGACTCACAATACTGGAGCAATAAGGAAAGCCACAATTTAGAAGGAGGAATGACTGGATTTGACAGACAAGAGACCAAACTGCCAACCTACTGGAACACACCCTTCTCCAAGATCTGTCTCGGAATGAAGGTCGGCCTCCAACCTGTCAGATTCATTGTCATGAACACCCACGCGAATTCCTTGCATTCACTGATTGCCAACGGAGGATATCATAACACTTCGTACGGGCCTGAAAAGTGGAAGGCATTGATTGGCCCCGAAGCCTCATTGCAGAGGACCTGTTACAAGGAGGGTTTTAATGTTCAACCTGATTCTTCTACCTCCAAAGCTAGAATTGGCATAGTTGGTGGCCAACAATGCTATTCATATTATATGACTTCCAGAGTTGGTTTTGGTACTGGAGGTCGGCCTGATGATAGCAGCTCGTGTGGAAACGAGGATCAGCGCGGCGGTAAACATTTAAAAGCGATGGGGTACATCTTTGTTCAGTGACATATCGACTTGTAAACGCTCGAGCCTTTTAGCACTGTTTAAAACTGGTTAAAAATTTAATGAAGCAAACTGTTCGATTGAAGATTTACACCGAAGGGAAATTCTGAGATGTATCTATAATGATAAATTAAAATAAACGATGAATGAATAAATAATCAAATAACTAAAACAAATCAAATGCGTTGTTTGATTTAGTATCTGTTTTCTATCTTTTGAGTGTAGATCTGTGGAAATTTTTTGGCAAAAACTGAGCACTTAAGGTATCACTTCCTATGTGCTGGTGGGTTCTTTCATTAGCTTTAAAGTGATGAGATATCACGAGGAAATCAAAATTTCGCTGTTTTCGAAAAGTTTTCGAATGAAAAAACGCAAAACGTTCATAACCAAGGTACTAATATTTGAGGCTCTCTTTGGTAAGAAAGGAAACATCTTACAAAAATGAATACAAAAAACCACTCGAAACTGAAAATAATCTAAAGTCATCTCTTCCTCGACTGGAATATCGCAAGATAAAGGCACAAGCCATTTAGATTACATGGTTTGGGATTTCTGGACATCGGAGGAGTTCTTAGAAACCCATAGCTTTTTACAGTTCTAAGGAAAATTAGCCCGTTTGATGATCAAGAGCCGCAAACACCGGAAAGTACTGTACAGTTGTGTGACATGTCCATAAGACACTTGCGTTACTGTGCGTGAAAATGCACTTATACCTGGAAAGCCTGGAAACTATTATATAGCACATTGACAATAATTACGAAGAAACGTACATTACCCTAACTTTACAAACAAGGCTGAATGGCTCTTTCTAGAAAATACCAGGTTAAAAGTACGACCCACTATTGATGAAGCTGTAGTTTTCAATATCTTTCGCCACTAAAGTAATCGAGCTCAGCCATGAGACTATCAAATTAAATGATCAGGACACGAAAAAGTCATAGTGTGATGGAGAACTGGAAGTACTTTGCCATCTTTATCGTCCTCGTGCTCAGCTTCACACCCTGTTCTGCCTCAAAAAACCCATGTTGGTGGGTGCTAGATGCAGTGAATAAAGAAAATCCTGTAGAGCCGACGCCTGTTGTTATTCCAGGTGGACAGTATTTGTTGAGGATTCGAATTAAGTGCGACAACATGGTGAGAATCTTGATTTTCAATCTATTTGTTAATTCTTGACAAACTTCTCTTGTTTTCTTTTAAACCGCGATGACACCCCTCGAAATGTCATTTTGATAGAATTAAGCAAAGAATATATAAATAATTCTAAGGGAAACTTAATAGATGTATTTTCAATGCCCCTAGGGCGCCATCATCACCAGGTTAGGGTCGACTCTACAAAACTTCCTGAAAATGGAAGGAAATCGCAATGCATTAACCCCATTCATCATTTTTGACACTCTTTCTGGGAGCAGCTAGAGGTGAAAGAAAAAAGAATTTCTCCATGCAAGTGGACCCTGATATTTTATCGGATTGGAATTTTTTTCCTTATTTTTTTTACTGAATTTTAGACCCACAATTGATTATTGAAGCAACCAGAGAAATCAACATAGTAATAATCACTTGATTCATTAAACTTTTAATCCCTTGGAGTGACTGGCTTCTAATTTCTCCATACATTACCCCTTTTGAATCAAATGCTAAGCTCAGGAGAATAAAGGAATAATCACTGATATAAGAATACCTTGATTGTTAAACAAATTCTCCTTGTCATTCCTTTGGAAATGTATCAGGAGCAGTGTGGAGGAAATGAATACTGATGTTAAGGGTGTAAAGAGTTATGGCAAAATGGATTAAGTGATCATATTGGATTAAATTATTCCTCTTTTTCTTTATTGTACTCTAGTGAGTATTTCACTAAGGAAGGAAATCAAATTTCTTACTTAATTAATTTAATTTCTTACTTAATTAGTGTTAGTACTATTTTTGGTTTGCATTAATTTTTTCCTCCATACAGATTGACTCCAAGATGGTGAGGTCATTGATAATGACAGGTGTCAATCCCACTGTTCGCATTGAAACAGAACCATTTGGCCCAAGCCAGCATAAAGCCAGGAGATTTTCATTCTTGATATCATCATTGTTAGTAGAAATGGGAGAACAAGACACTTGTGGATGTTACTTCATCAATAGAACCAAAAACAATGACAGGTGCCTCCAAAACTACATGTAATAATACTACTCATTCATTATTATCTTCATTACTTTTTTAAATAAATCTTCCACCCTGGAATGCAAATTCAAGGGCTGCAGGTACAGCTGTCAATAACTTCTAGAGCATCTATTAAAGTTACTTTGGAGATATAACCCATAGCATTGCAATACATGGCCAAGTGCATGGTGACAGCAAGCAAGGCAAGATAAAGTGAGCTCAGCCCTGACAGGTGTTATGGGTTACAGTCCTTACTGGCAGTCTTGGCACAGATAGTGGTAACCTGAATATTTTCGAATTCCACATGAGGCTCTTATGCTTAAGTTTAATGCCCAATTCCAAAAGTATGATTTAAGGGCTTGTTTTCACCTGGGAAGTGTGTTTATCATGATACCTCTGGCAGCTCAGAGAAAAAGAGAATTCAGAGAGAATGTGTATTAAGAAACAACCCAATAATGTGCATTTTTTTCTTTAATTTTTATACATTTACCCTGTTGATTGATTTTAGAGCTTACTTGCCTGCTAGATCAATTGACAGATTGACTAAATAAGTTTAATTATTGACTTGTGTTGCTGCAGTCAGGACATACAAAGGTCTCCAATTGAGATCACTGTCTCTAAAGGATCAAATATCTGTTATTCTGCCGGAAAGGTTGAAAATACAGTTAATAATGAAGACAAAAAAGAGAATCAAAGTATGAAGTGCTGTAGACTGGCCTATTGTGGCAGTCTGGCAGCACTTATTTACATAAGCCATAAAAAACTGCTACATTGCATTCCAGGTTAAGCCAATGCAGTTGTGATGGTGCTCTGCCCAGTTGTTTGTACTCAAAGGATGTTCAACTAGTAGAAGCTGGAGTTGAATGCTGCAAAGTTGAAACTAACTGTTCAAGTTTCATAGAACTGTGTAACCCAGCCTGGCTAGTTCCTCTTCACATCCCTGAAATGGTACTAACTATGCACTGTGAGGTTGTCTACAATGGCATAGGACCATACTTAGAATCTCACAGGTGGGGAGATAGTTTTACTGCTAAATAATTTCTTAATACAATCAACTGCTGTTTTATTACCAACGTGACCAGCTATCTTATTTTTCTATGGAAACAAAAGAAAGAATTTCCATTTTAAAAAAGTTTAATCCCCAAGTGGATTTGGAACACCAATAAGGGCAACTCTTCATTTTTTTGGAACACCAATACAGCTGCTGTGATATCAAGTGAAAACACTCTAGCTAAAGACACATCTATGGGCTGGAATTCTTTTTAAATTGGGCTCTTGATTTTTTTGGTCATTTGTTTACAACTTACTAAATAAATTACTTTAATTTGATTACCTCTCAATGACCCTTGTTTGGTGGCTAAGCTTGAAGGGCCTTTTGCAGGAGCTACTGCCAACTGACTTGAACTAAAACTAATTTTTCTATTTTCATACTCAACTAAAAACAACTTGAATTTATATGAACTGCTGTCCTCTCAGCCACTTCAAAAGGTAAAGGTTTTTTTGATCATATTTAACCTTTTCATAAGTACCTAGCAGTTACTTTCTTTCCTTCCATTTTCTCTCTTCTTTATCAGATAGGGATATTAGGAATATTTTAAATTCTCCAAGAAATTGAAGTTGGCAGTTATCTTATATCTCACACTAGGCTAACTGTACATCTGGATGGATTTCACTACCTTGTTAACAACACAAGACTCCGCAACAGTCTTGGAGAGGAGGCACAGCTACCATCAATTTCCCAGCAAATGCCAATCAACTGTGTCCCACACCTGAGTCCCATTTGTGTCACTGGATCCATAGAAATGTCCAACCATGTCATCTATACAGCTTCTGAATTTGAAAAGATGACATTTTTAAAGATCAAAGTGAGTGTAAACTTAAAACACTTTAATACTCTTCAATTCACTTACAGTTATAACAGTGCCTGATTTTCATAACAATGTGAGATGTTTCATCTAGGCAATTTTATGGAAAAAAAGTTTGTTATAATTGTACAAAGTGTAGTTTGAATTAAAATAAGCTGAGATAATTACATACATTAAGATTCTGATTTACAAATTATTCAAGATTAACCCTTTAACTCCCAGAAGGGATTCACATTCGATTTCTCCCTCCAATATCCGTACATTATCCAGGTAATAAGAATACTCAGACCATCCAGGTTTAAGTCGTTATCTTGATCTAACACCAAATTCTTGTAGCTATTTTACAGGGAAATGTGTAGTAGATAGAGGGGAGAATTAGCAATCAGATCCTTGGGAGTTAGAGGGTTAATATAAAAGTCACAAGGTATAAACAGAGTCAATGTAACCAAATTTGTTCCGTGAAAAGCATTTAAATTAAGAAGAATTCTGCAACAATATTTTTCCTTTGCACTGCATATTGTGGACTGTAGTAAGGCTTACATGGCAGAAATGAATTTTGCTTCATTGTTGTCAGGAACATATTAACCCTTCAGGTTTTCTTTTTGTTTCTGGTTATAGAGGAGATAAGTTCTGAGTCCATTTTATTGTATCTCTCATTAGTTTGGAGACACATTCAATAATAGATGTGTATCAAGACAGTCTGAGAAGCTGCTGAAGATTAAGGGAGCACTGTCACTTCCAGACAGAGTTCTTGTGAATACTGGTGTAAGAATGAATATTTTTTACTTTTTAATATTTTTTTTATAGTAAAAGTATAGCAACTAATATTTTTTTTTTTTTTTTTATAGCAACTAATATAATATGACAAGTATATTGCTATAAAAAGGTCATGATCTAAAAACCAGCCATTTCTATGATAAAAGAGCCATATGTACTCTCTCATTTGCAGATGAAAGATGAAATTTAAACATTTTTTAGGTAACTGTACTTAATTAAAATGAAATTTTAGGGCAAAAGAGGGGTAAGGAATAAGATATTACTGATTTTTCATCCAAAGGCTGGTATATTTGAGCTGCAAGCAAATCGCCAAAAAAATCCTGCTGATGTCACATGTAAGTATGTTGTTATTAAGTATTTTAATGAGCAATATTTCTGTATCTTTGAGTATTTTTTTTCCCTTTTACCTCCACCTCATTAAACTCAGCCTTTATAATTTTGACCTGCATTGACATTTTTGGATAATCCAATGAAATCTGTGCAGTAAAACTTGTGTAGCACTACTGCAGTGCAGTAACCCATCACACTTTCTACTTCCTTACCAGTAGCACTGTGGAGAAAACTGGAGGCCAGACACAAGCAACCTTCAAGTTTTCTCCAAATATTTCATTATCTTTTTTACTTGAAATATTACCATATTGTAGAATATTATGATCATGTCCAGGTAGAGTAGTTAAGAGGAAGAGTGATAATAACTATTTTCAGTTACATTGACTGATGCTTTAATCAGTGGGATGATAATTATCATAATTATCAATGAGAACCTCTCCACCAGCTGTCGAAGCTTGACTCTGTTATGGACAAATGTTCTTTGTAAGCCTTCCCCTACTGAATGGATCCTACTAATTCACAAGCTGATGTTAATTCATTAGGCTCAAACCACTCACTTTACAATTAGAAACTTGACTGTATGATTACATTATAGCAGCAGATGGTTTTACGCTTGTATTGGATGCTTGCATTAGTCAAATGATTGGTCCAGTTCAGTCATCAATCCATACAGTGACAGTATTGGGTTTTGGGGATGAACAGGACAAAGAGAGAGTCTTCATGGCAGTGCTGCAGAAAGGTTACCTCACTACGGCCTTTAACACATCAAAGTTTTATTAATAATTTCTGACTAGCGAACCATTCGTGTCATCTTCGTCTTTTGATGAAAAACGTGTCTATGCTTGTGTAGTTTTTTATTTAATCAGCTTTTATTAATTTTTGTGTCTAATTTAGGCAAACCTGCAAACTTTACGGAGCAGAGGGATTCAAGTAGTAAAAATGTCTGCCAATTCGTAAATGCTCTTCTTGACAATGCAGGTAAAAGATAACTGTGCTTCACTGCGTTGATGTCTAAATAAGTCGTAGACTTCCTAACTGTAACACTGGATAAGTTGAGACGGCTGGGTCTAATTGGGATTTATCTATCCAATTTCCGACGACTCGTCCGATCCGAAATGATTCCGTTCAATTGTGGACGAGTACCATTACATCGGACGGTTCCGTTCGATATTGGACTCATTCGTCTGATATTAGACGGTGTCGTCCATTTTCAGATGATTCTGACCATATGTCATTGCATATGTCATTACGAGCAGTTAATCTGTAACTTTTGCGTCTGGTTCTGGGCGTTTTATGTGACGGGTAACTTTATAATCATGTCCGAAGGACGTCTTGAGAATCAAATATCGAGGATTGTTGATTGAAAACTGACTTTTAAAATTGCATTGTAAAGTGACAAGTGAATTTAAGTACTATCTCTTTTTCAATTTGTTTTGTTAATTTTTTTTTTGTTTAGTAAGTTATTCGTGTCAAGTGATTTCAGGCAGCATTAATGGTGTGAAGACGGGATCATTTGTTGTTCTTGTAATGCTTAAGACTGCTTATACAGAAACATTTCATGTCCTGCAGTTTGAAAGTAAGTATTTAAAGGTTAAAATTACGTTTGATACTTGCAATATTGGCGCAGTTTTACGGGGGAACATTCCAGAGGCATCTAGTTGTTCTCTAGCTGAAAACAATTTTAAATGAAAACGAAAGTCCCTGTAGATGAGATGCTCATTCTGATTTTTTGTCAATTTTTTCTCATTATATTCTGGTAATTAGTCTACATTTCTTTATTCATTTCACGGGAGGAAATTTTTTACTGAATTCAAAATAGGCGACGGCCTGTCACCACACTCGTTTTATGAGGAGGTTAGGTTTACGTTACCAGAGAGCTCTGACAGTAAAGAAAGAATCCCTACTTTGGTAATGTCCGAGCACTAGTTACTTCTAAACTTATGCTCTTTAAGCACGACTACCAGATCACTTATTATTCCAATGATCAAACTCTAACTTCGTCAAACATCTACCCTCGTAATTTATCTACACAGTGCATTGTGTATCTACAGTCTCTTCAACTCTGCAATTTCGAATCCTGATTTTGCATTAAGGGAAGTAACACAGATCCGACACATTTGTTATGACTCCTTTCTACGGAATCAGGGCCTCACTTTTCAAATGAGTCGCAGAACCAGGCGTTTGAAATCATGATAACCATCTCTTATGATAACCTTTGCTTTTACAATCGTTTTCCTGTTTGTTTTGTGTGCCAGGTTTGTTTATCTCGTTATGGTTTATTTTTTTTTTTGGCAAATTTGTTTTTTCGTTTGCGTTGTGATACAGCAGATTCCATGGAATGGAAAGCACTTTTTCACTTCCCTACATCGCTTGAGTCTCTTGCGGAAACGGGTGAGTTCATCAAGTTTGTACGAAATGAACTGGCGTAACAGCTATGTGCCTTCGTTTAGGGGGGGGGGGGGGGGGGGTTGGGGAGGGAGTACCAATGGGCCAATTTTCAATTTAGTGATGAAAATAATCCGGGATTGCATTCGCTCAGTGACTGGTCCAGAAAACGCGCACTATTCTCTCAACCAATCGGATGCAAGCCTAAAATCGATCACGACTTGATTTTTCGTGTGTTCCCGCACTCGAGGCATTACGGTTGGGTTATTGTTGTTTTTCAATGTTTATGTTGGCTTCGATAGAACTGAAAGCTTGAAAGCTGTCATGAATCGACAACAGTAAGCTTCACAGTATTTAAGTGTGTCAGTATGCATCAGTACTCTGTGCTGAATGAAGTTAGATCATTTTTATGAAGCCAACTTTGTTTCTTTCCAGAAAGTGAAAATTGGCAGAGAATCGAATCCAATTTAACCGCTGAAGGTTCTGAGGCTGCCTCCCTGTCACTTACAGGCATATCGTTCACTGCAATCGCTTGTGACAGATTATTTATTTGGGGAAATGCTCTATTTTTCAGGTATCTTTGATATTACTTTTAGTCCGCGATTAATGATTAATCTATAACCATCAAACTTCCTGGGATGAAGAAGGAAAGAGCTGTGGCAAATAATGAAAACAATGGCAAAACTTCGGTGTAATATATTATTATTATCATTATCATTATCACCATATAAATCACAACCACCATCATTGCTATAACCACTAGTACTGTAATTGCTTTTGATTTTTATACTCTTGTTATTAATATCATTGAATGTGTTGGTGTTTTTGTTCTTTTTCTATATTTTAATTATTTAGTCAACTGCGACCTAGACTTAACTCTTTAAAAGGTTAGGCACCAGAGGAAACCGTGATTCTCTGTGGTCAAAGATTTGAAAGTGTGTTTCAAATATTTTCCAGTCCAGACAGCGGGATTACAGTTCATTGGCTGATATCCTTTTCTGGCAATTCCACTATAACTGTGTTCACGACATCTCTTTTCGATGGAACTTTTGCATTCCTTACAGACAACCAGGAGGTGAGATTCGATCAGCATAGTCTCATCTCATGTTCTGATTTATCGAGCCAGGGTTACTTCCCAAAAAGGTGAAAGGATTTTTTTAAGTTCCAGTCATCTGCTTTAAAAAACTGTTCATCCTCCCATCAACCTTTTAAATCATAAGAGTGACCAGCCTCTAAATTCTCCTGCAAGTGCCACTGGTGAATCAATCCCTGAGGTGATTCCTCAGTATTGCACTGTGCATCCAGCTACTTCAAAATATGGCGTGAACCGATTAAATGACGCGCATGTTTAGTTTCAGAACAGGAATTAATGGGGAGAATTTGGTTTATCATATCACTTAAACAAGCACGGTGATCCATCTTTTAAAATTTATGTGTCGAAGCAGTCATCTGCAGGAAACATTTAAGTTAGTTCAAAAAAAATTTTCCATAACTTTTTTTTTTTCTGACGTAGCACGTCAAGATCATGCAAATAAAAGGAATGATTGCCAATCTAAGAAGCTTTCAGAGTTAAACTAGTTTGCCTGGTCAGTTACAAAGGCAATTTAAAGCAAAGATATGGTAGATATGGAGAATATGAATTCTTATGTTGGGGTGAAAGGTCTAACAGCGATATGGCAAGTGTTTATCTTTTTGTCATTTGCTTCTGGGCGTCTGTACATTAGAATTGTTAAGATGGGTCACATGTACACAAGTAGTAAAACTTTCCTTCTGATTCGTTACAATCATAGCTGTGGGTTGGTCAGATTGGCTCGCCAATTGTCCAGCGGCTTCACAGCAGCGTAGGAACCAAGGGGCTAACTCCAGATTTCCACAGCCAAAATAATTCATTTGTTGTATCGATATTCTTTGACTCGTCTGGGAGGTTACAGCAGGTCAGTGCTCAGCGCATAAGGGTCACGTTTGACAAGTTAGTATGTGAGTGAATTTATGTACAGTAGTATAGGTTTAATGGGTGGTAAAAAAAGATCCAATGAGTGCGTGAGATTTCTGTAAAAAATAAGAAAGATATCAGTGATATTAACTTAATTCCCAATAGCTCTCTGGTGTTTTACTATTTTGAAGGTGACTCAGCCTCTAAAATTGACAGCAAATGATTTATCATGTTGAATGAAGTTTTACTTTTAATACTAGAAAGAGCTCATGATAATCAAATCCGCAGAAGGTCTGCAAGGACTAGAAAATAGTGAAGTTCTCCAGACTTTACTTTATATCTTTAGCGGTAAAGCACAAGGATATTAACCTTGTGTAGCTAGCCTTTTGTTATTTACCTTGATACTAAAAGACACAAGTAAACAAATTTTGAGTTTGATTGTCGAACAGAGAACGATGTTTAGTACTGATTTGATTTGACAGATTGTTGCTGATAAAGGCAGTGATGGACATGAAACAATGTGTATCTTTCTGAAGGAGATCCTACTTGGCCAAACCATATCTAGGCAGTTATACTCTCAAACGCGAGAGGAAAATATTCAAAAATATAAAAAATCCAAGACCTATTCAGCATTCTGCCTCAAAAAAGCATACGTCGATCTGAAGCAGCTCAACAGTGTTGTACGCACATGTCCTTTCTCGCGCATCACATTTGAAGCCAAACACGACGTGCTTTATACAAGGAAATGTTTTTACAAATTTGAGCCGGCTGTCTACAACGCCAGCGAAGTAATTCAGAACAATACCATACTTCGTGAATTTTTCTCTGAAGTAGAAAAGGCTGTGAATTCAGACTGCACTGGTATTAGTCAAGAAGAGGCACTGGATATCAAGGACGTTTTGCCAGATTTGATTCATCTTGGACGATCGGAGTGGTACTCGTTTGTGTTTTATCTTTATTTGGAGAATGAATTTCAAGTAGGTGAGCTGTGATCTGGGCAAAATAAGGAAGTGAAGGGAAACAAAGGTCAGCTGAGATATGCCAGTCTTAAATGGACGGGAAAGGACGTATTCCCAGTTGTGTACCACATGAATATTTTCCTCTTTCGAAGTTGTTTCTTCTCCACGCTTTCTGCCTTTTTGCTGCCCTCACTCAGTTCGTGACATCGAGATTAGGCCTCATACGAACGAAAATACTCTTGTTCGAGAGATATCTGTAGATAACCGTAGTGAGACTGATCTAGCCTCTCTCGCTCTGTGTTCACTCGTCTTTTCTCTCTCTCTCTTTGCTTTTTCAATTCAAATTTTCTAGTGCCAAATCAATTTTAGAGTGATTTCATTAAGCGTCTAAAAATAAGATTTCCAGTGGGTGCTAAATAGTCCAAACTAAAAGGAAAAAAATAGAAAACAGAATGAACAGAAATTTCCCGGATTGGCGATTTCTTCTGCTGAGTAGGTTTGATCTAGCCGGTATTGAAAATTTTCAAGGAAGGAAACTTAATGTTTGGTAGTTTAATTTTTCTTGGTAGTAGCAGCAGTTAAGACAAAGGAGTGGTTTAGCTCTAGAATGTTAAACTTAGTCTCAGTCTCAGAATGTTATCGCAACTTAAACGACTCACCAAAATCAAAATATCTTTGTTACACAGACACTAGTTCACATTCTTGGAGTCTCGATCATCTCCACGCCTCGTTACACCTCTCAGACGCTACCATTTTAAATGTGACTTCTCGAAGATCAGAACTTATCCCTCAAAAAGCCGTTAGATATGAGGTAAGAGTCGAATAGATAGATGACCATGTGGTGAAGTGTTGTCATGTTCGCGAATAGACTAGTTGAAGTCGATCTCGGATTAAACATGAATTTTGCTTCACAATGACGACAGAGTTGGATCATTTTATGGTTGGTGCTTATTTCATGCAAATGTTGAATTATCATTGATATTATAATCGTAAACATAATTATAACTCCCTTACCATTATTAATGAAATTATCATTATCGTTTTCATTATCATCATTTTTACCATGCGTAGCCTGTGGCTCGAGTTTGGGAAGTTTATACTGACTTTGTTTCCTAGCGTCGTAAGGGAAATGAAACAATAAAACGTTTTAAGACAAGTTGATGATCAAACGTACTTTTCCTAGCCACACGACAATATTCTGTTAACTAAACGCAACAAGATCGCACACTAAGTTTACCGCGTCTACAAGCCAAGGCAATTTTTTTCTAGCGTTTGAGTGGAATTTCTCTTATAAGAGCATGTTTTTAAGACCCAAAGTCAGGGTTGTAGGGTACGTGCAAATGATATGATTAAATTTGGTAAATACATTCAGAGAGATGATGACATAATTTTGATTTCAGCCATAGAATAGAAGAGAGTATGGTATGAAGAAGACTTCTCAAGAAGGATTCGAGCCGCAGGCATTTGGATTTTGTAGTCCCACAAACTACCAAAAGTAGATACTTACCACTAATAAATTTATTTTACTACTTATCCCAATCATGTAGGTGACAGTGCAGGATTCAGGGTTTAAACTTCCACAATTCCGCCCAGGCGAGAGACTCACTCCAGCATCTTTACATATTCAGGTAAATAAAAACCATTTAGCAAGGAGCTAAGAGCAAGTGAAAAACGCGTTGGTCTAGTGATTAGCGCGCTAGACTCCAGATAGGATGTTCTGGTTGGTGTTTAGGTTCTTGGGCAGGAAAGTTTATTTTCCCAGCGCGTCTTTCTACTCAGGAGTACAGGAATAAATGCTTACTGGCAACGTGGCAGTGGGAAGTTGTATTGCTCTCAGTGCAGTCACCGTGGAAGCTGGAATCGATTTTAAAAATGCGTTGACCAAGCGATTAACCTGCTAGATAGGAAGTTTTGGGTTGTGTTTTGGTTCTTGGGCATGATCTTTTCACAGTGGTTTTTTGCACCCAAGAGTACAGGAAGTTGTGATACTCTCACTGGAGTCAATGTGGAAACTGGCGCAAATTATAAGCGGTAATCGCGCGCATTAGTGTGACTCAACATACAGACCATTCATTAAATCTTTATCTTGGTCATCTGGTGAAAGAATATTTCATAGAAAAGCTTGTGTTTTTGTGGACGTTTCGAAGCGCATTCCGTACGCAAACAGAACTGCGAGCCAAACAGACCATAAAAGTAAGTTGATTTCTCTATTTTTAGAATTCCATTGCCTATCTAAGTTTGCCATCGTCTTTTTCAGATCTGGAATTCTGGTCTGTCTTGTAGCACCAGTTCTGGTAGTAGGGGATCCATTCAGGTAATGACCATAAAATTTCCTGACAAGAAATAGGATAATGTGAAATAGTCAGGCGAGATCGCCGCAAAAGGAATTCCTAGAGATGCCTGTCTCACAATGGCCTTCATTTTCGGTCCCCACTCCAAATAACAAATCATAATGCGTGGCCACCGTCAAGAGTGAAAAAGCTGACGTTTTGAGCGTTAGCCCTTCTCACAATGGCCTTCATTTTCGGTCCCCACTCCAAATAACACGACGTGGCCACCGTAAAGAATGAAAAAGCTGACATTTCGAGCGTTAGCCCTTCGTCAGAGCGATTGGAGGAATTGTTGGTTGTGTGTGGTTTATATGCCGAAATTGAAGCGACGCTATTGGTGGGAATATGGTGACGAGAAAACAAGAATAAATTAGTTGAATAAAAAGCGGAAAGATATTACCAGTCTCTGAGACTGGTACTAACAGAGACTGGTACTATCTTTTCGCAACCTCCGCTAATTTCATGCAAACGTAACAAAAACATTTGGCGAGGGCGACATTTTGGTCAGAAGTTCATTTTAAACCAATGACCAACCAGGAACTTTCAAATACGCTCGCTCACGATGTAAATCTTGTCCTTTCATTCTTAACGATGAGAAAATTTTGAGACCCAAGAGATTCACTAAGATCACTGATCACTTCGGGTGCACCTTCGCCAGCGTCATCTTCTGCATAACTTGCACTGGTTGCAAAAAGTTATACATTGGTGAAACGGGAAGGCGACCAGGCGACGATTCCGAGAACACCTTCGCGACGTAGAAAGAAATGACAAGGATGTATCCAAACCAGTCGCTAGACACTTAAATCTCCCTAATCATTCTAGGAAGCATATGGCAGGTTGCGGCCTTTTCCTACATCTAGGCAGTGCGGAGAGCCGCAAAACTCAAGAACAAAAATTTACCTTTCAAATCGGCACGCTTAGTCCCCACAGTATCAACGAGCGCTTTTCATTCAACTAAGTTATTCTTATTTTCTCAACAACAACCTAAAATTCCTCCAATCGCTCTGTCGAAAGGCCAACGCTCGAAACGTCAGTCTTTTAATTCTTTACGGTGGCCAATTTACGCTATCAACTCAGTTAATAATTCAAAATTATCCCGCTATACGAGGCGTTGATGCAGGCTGTGTCTAAAATAGCATCCTTGCCTATTAAATTAAGATGGGCACAACGGTACCTCCTCAGCTCCAGACTAACATTCATCTAGCATCTTACCTCTCTCTTAAAACTTGCTTACACTGATCTCTTGTTAAGGGCTCCTATGTGATGACTGTGCTCCTCGGGTGTCCCGCGGGTCGGAAGATTTACTTTGATCCTGAGGCCTCAAAAAACTCTTCGAGTAAAAAGCACTATTGTTCTACCGTTCACGGGGTTCCATGCTTTTATTTTTACCGAGGTAAGGTTACAAATGTTGGCATTCAATTTTAGCAAACTTTGTATTTTCGTAAATTTTCCATCTCGCTTTGAGTTGTTTGATGCTCTGCGCCCAGTTCTTCGAAGGCCGATTAGCGCTAACCCACTGTTAAATTTTAATCTAGGTTTCTATATTTCTCTGTTCAAAAGCTGTTTGAGGACAATTTTCTTCATTTATTTTTAGAGCATTCAATCAACAAATTGAAGACAAAAAGATTTAAGCTGAATTTTTTCTTTCAAGCTTTTAGATCTTAAAGAAAATTTTATACTAACCCTGGGTTATCTTAACCCAGCTTTGAACAACCCGGCTCTGAGCTCTAAACGCACCTGAGACACAAGTTATATTATATAATATCATTCATGCAGTTGATTTAATAGACCATAAAAATTGAAGAGTAAGTATTTTTATCGAAACTGAAATTAATTCCAATGATGAAATGACCTTTGCAGTAATTTCTGAAAATTTGAAGCGCATTTAGAAACCTGAAATAGAAACTCATTCTTGGCTAGCGCGAACCACATTTTCCTAATTCAATGCCAAGGTCATTCAATCGTTGATTAATTGTATCGCTCCATTCCCAAACATTTGATTCATTTCCAATTAAGATACATTACTTTGTCTAAGACAACATCATATAGATTACAAGGATTTCTGGTGCTTGCTTGCATTTCTTATTTAATATTATCAGAAGAGACTAATGAATGCTTTCTCAATGGCAGATTTTTCACCAGTGTTTAGAGTATTAGACTTAGCCACAGGTCAGGTTAACCAGTTCTATGGAAAATATTATCTAAAAATTGTGGGAGGAGGACCAACCTATCAGTCAATAACAGATTACTCACAAGAGGAACAGACTATGTATAACTACCAAACAACAAGGTATCTGCGGTCATTTTCTCGCAATCAAAAAATCAAATATTTATCAAGGGGCTTCCTAGTAGGTGGCGAGTGTCATTAATTGTAAAGAGCAGTGTTAGACTAAGTGTGGTGAATCAAAAACCAACATTATAACAGCAAATCATAATAAAGAACGATACCACCTGCAACGGGGGGCGGGAGTGGTGCAGTCGGGACAGCTCTCATCCCCCACCGCTGTGGAAAACACGCGTGAAAAACACTAATGGCCGAATTCTGATTGGGTTTAGTCTTGTAACAGGATAGCTCGAGATCACGTAACCTACCTCATGATTTAGTTAAGCAAGACCAACAGAGTCCCGGATTATTTTGGACGCACCACTGGAAATTGCTCTCTATTTATACCGGTTACTTTATTGCCTGTCTTCGTGCATTGTAGATATAAGTTGCTCCTATATTGCAAGACTTCTTGATCGCATGTCTTTTGTAGCTCCATGGCATCTTTGATCTGGGCATCTAAATTAAAGACGCTGGGAGATATTCCCGTTTTTGATAGCAAGACAAATGGTATAAGGTTAGTGAACTGAGTTATGTTAAACGTGCGATAATCTTCCGTCAGTATGTCTAGGTTACCAAAGCAGTAACAGTGCTAGTATTGAGAACCTTGAAATAGACTTCGAAATTATATTGAAATCGACATCGACTTTGACATTGGCTTTGACTTTGACATCGACCATGGCATCGCTATCATCAGTAACATGGACAATGATAAGAAACCAGCCTTAACCTAAAAAATGAATAGTCCTTTACATGGACACTGACACAGATACTGACTTCGTGAATCTGTCTTCTTACGATCTTTATAGCTGGTTGTGTGGTACACAGAGCCCTTGTGCAGATATTGGCCCAACCTTTCCCGGGAATGCCGAGTATTATTTCAAGCTGGAATTTTCAAACAGGTAAGCTGCATCAAAGTCTGGTATTTCGCCGCCTTTCCTTTTTGGTGTCATTAGACGCCTCGGTTTGTTTTAAATCAAGGATGCGTCTAATTTTTCTTGTCTCTAATTTTTAGGATCGTAGATGCTGATTCATCAAACTGTGACTATACTATTCGATTCCTGATCCGAGTTCACGGCTTACCCCCAGGCTCACTCAACCCATCATCCCTTATTGTGCTGGTAAGAAATTCAAAGCATGCGTTTCCCAGCTGCCCCATCTCCTCTCCCTCTTCTTTCCTCTCCCCTTAGTAAGAAACTTGCAAATTATAGTTGTTGGGCTACTTAGAGTTGCATACCAAAGTTTCCTCATATTTTAAATCCTTTAGCAGTTTACGTTTTCCATGTTTAGTACAACTAAATCAGGTCTTTAACCAAAGAAAAGCATACTATATACGTTATATATTGAAACTGGGCGATATTACAGAAAAGAGAATAAATTAATGATCTTTCGCATTTTAATTCGCTGTGAGTTTTAGATAAAGGCCTCACTCTCCTATAATCCCCTTGTCTACAGGCTAAGGAATTCCTCAGCCCGGGGACCTAGCGTGTTAACGATAAAACTTGACTGTTTTCCTGTGGTGTTTGTTTTTATTGGACATGGACAGTTAGTTACATGTGACTCCTTTTTTCTTTTTTGCAGTCTTGTATTGCAATCCTGACCGTTCTCATTTTAACCTTCTTTCTGCTGAAAAGACAGGACTCCAAGGTCTGGAGGCATATAAAGAGTGGGTTGTCTGTGGTACGTCACGTGCCCGGCCTCTGTAGGGCCGGGATCTGTGGCAAAGTCATTAGCATGCGCAGGAACAAGATAGACCATTTGGAAGATCAAGATCAAGTTCAACTTCAAGTCATTAATCGAGGTAATGTGCTTATCCAAGATGAGGGCCATGTCAATCTCTTTGGTTTGATTGTTTTTCTTATTTCTGTTTTATTTGTTCGTTTGTTTTGGTTTTGTTTTTATTTTGTTTGTCTTGTTTTTTCTGTCTGTGCTTGTTGGTTTGTTTGTTTTAGCGAGTTAGCTTGCAAAAACTGTGATCCCTAAGTAACCCATCGGAACAGTCACTTTCCGTGCTTATGATAAACTGAAGCCCGTTCATTCTGTAGTTAAAGGACACTTTGACTTTATTTCAATATGTTAACAGCCCTTTTTTTTGTATCTTCGGCAATGAAAACAGATTCTGAATACACCACTGAAGCTCCCATCGAAGTCAGTGGAAACAGAACAGAACAGTCACTTTCCGTGCTTATGGTAAACCGAAGCCCGTTCACTCTGTAGTAAAGGACACTTTGACTTTATTCAAATATGTTAACAGTACTTTTTTTTTTGTATCTTCGGCAATGAAAACAGATTCTGAATACACCACTGAAGCTCCCATCGAAGTCAGTGGAAACAGACCTCAACAACTCCACACTACGAACGTTTAAGAATCGATTATCCCTCTTTAGGGTTGAGGAGTATTATAAGCCACTATAAAGCTGCTATTTTGCCAGATATCTAGCACTTTCCAATTTTATGGTATTTGTTGGAGCTTTTATCCAGTTGTAAATAAGTTCTTTCTTTTACAAATTATCTTGATCAAAAGACGTTGTTCTTGCAAATTCGATTTGGCTATCTCTTTAAATCGAACAAAACTTATGAATAAGGGATTTGTGGAATGTTCTCTTTGATAAAACAGAACGGTTGTAGAAACACACCCCAAAGGTCTGAAAAACGATAGTTTCACTAAGCTGAACCATTTTTATTTTTTAACATTCAGCAGTCAGCACCTTGAAAGCGAAACTTCAGATTAAAACTTGCCATTTTTTCCTTTTTGATATTGATCCATGGCAAGTTTAAGTACTAGTAAAAATTAATTAACATTGTTCGATTTTCGCTGGTTTATTATCGATAATAATCATTTATTGGTCGTGGATTGATGCTAAAGGTTCTTGACAATTTTCTTTGACATACCTTTGCTCTTAGTGATGATCCCTGACTGAATTCTGCGCATAATTTTGATAAACAATGTCTGCGGGATTTCAGGTAGTATTCCCAGCAAGATACGAGCACGATTGCTGCTGCTTTTTGTTATCAAAGCCATCCTCTTCGTTAGGTAGCTTTTATATAAACTCTTTGACGGGGACGAACAATGAGTGTGGCAATGATCTTAAGAGGTGTCCGCTGCATACTGATCTGTTTCATGCGGACAATAGAGCAATGCATACAGTGAAGAGAGAGTTGTTTGAGAGGAATCCGCTATCTTACTGAGCCTGCATTCTCCAACATGGCGTCTAAAGGGAGAGCCGTGGCACATAAACTTCACGCTGTAACTCAGGTCAGAAGCTGCATTGGCCGACCATGGTGGGAAAAAAGAACCATCAAGGCGCTTGGACTAGGAAAGTTACATCAAACTGTGATTCAAAAGAATACAACCACGATCAATGGGACATTACGATCTGTCAAACATCTACTCGATATAAAGCCGATAACGATTGTGAGCGAAGAATTGCCCAAGGAACAGAGAAATGGCGACGACGGACTATTTCTAAGACAAAACGGGCAGTTTCATCTCAGAAAGTTTCAAAAATTCCTCGAGGATAACCCAAACATGGAGGAGTTTATCAGGAAGAGAAAGAAACAGCAAATTTGGCAAAGGAGGAGACCATGAATTGGAAGCGTGTGCTTTGCAAGTGCAACTGATTACTTATGCCGTGCATATTGCTGCATCGTTGCGAATACATGCTGTAATGTCTTCACTTATTTTCTTGGGATTTTCATTTTTTTTTTTAAGTGGATGATGTCGATGGACTAAGGCTTTTTTTTTATTAAGACTCCCATTTTAATAAATGTACGTCGTTGTTGTGGTTCGATGTTTACTCGGTTAATTGTTCCATTAAGTTTCAACTTAAGCTTCCATTGCTTTAGATTACGATATTGAACAGCAAAGAAAGAAGTGTGAAAAAAAAAGCATTTTTTTTATTAAGTGTATTCACTCAAGATTTGGATCACCTTATATACTTAGTAGCACATTTAAGACCTACATGTGATCTACTAATTATTATTAATGGAAACTGTATTTGTTTTGAATGTGTGGAATGAAAGTTTTTATGATAATGTCTTTTCAACTGAACTTTCATTGTTAACAAATAATGAGCCCTTAATACAACTATCATTGAGAGGCATGTGGTAGACTAGTTTTTTTAAGACCCGAGTGCCCTGAAGTCATGATTAGTTGTCTCTGTTCAACAATTGACAAACTGAATTAAAAACCTTTCCCACTTCTTTGTAAAGGTTAGCAACAAGGGACAAGCTAGGTGAACAGTAAATGTTTTATATGCTTTCCTCTCCTTATAAAGCTTTCCCATCCTATGCTAAGAAAATCAAGTTTTTAAAAAGCTTACATTTCTGAAATTCTAATTCTTCTTCCCCTGATAACAACACTCCAAAGTAATAGTTCTACTGCCAGTAATTTGGGCTAGGTATTACAGTACCACTAACTAGATGGTAGCTTTAGTGTATTGTACTTAAAGGCCTGAATCAGTCTCCAATCAAATCATATTGTGAGTTTTCCATCAAGGAAATACTCTTAATACCATATCCTGTAGCTTTGGAGAACAATTCAGACAACTTGGATATTAAATCCTAGTACCCCATCCCCCTCAGAAACTCCTCATTGTTTTTCCTGCAATATATTTTTTACAACTTTGGCAGAAAACAGAGTTGAAGAAGGCAATATCTCCTAATCTTATGTCTATCTCTCCTCTGACCACCTTTATAAGTGAAAATATATTGATAAAAGTATACCTTACTGATTGGGGTATTCTTGAGACAAATTAGCTTGTCTACAGCCCCTCACCATGTACTTAAAAGAAGTTTCTCTTACAAAGATCAATGCTGAGGTGTGGAACAGCCTATCCTAACGACCACATTCTGTTGCTTCCTCAAATTAATTCAATTGCAACACAGCTCTTAATGAGTCACGGCATCCTTGAAAAGCAGCCTTAGGACATGACAGGTTAACTTTTATCTTATTTTGATGGTAAAATTACCACTAGCTGCTCGTCAATTAAGCAGAAGGAATCTTTTACTGGGTATAAATAAACTTGTCAATCAATCAATATTGTAATGAGAAATTACCTGTTAGTCACTGATCATGGGAATGAAAAGGTTAATGTGCCCCTGGAAGAAGTGGGGCCTGGGGTTGTGTGCTTTTTCATTTTGGAAATGCATGACTACCCACTTGGTAAGATGGGCAGCAATCCGCGGCATCTAGGGCTAGAGCTTTTGACAACAGGATGAATCAAAGCTCTAGGATTTCCTTAACACACCAAACCAGACCAGCAGTATTACATTGTCTATGCACCTACATCCTTGAATGATCAAGTATCTCTTCTTATTTGTAGGGAAATTTTTACAAACATACTTTCAAGTTGAAATTACACCTCTGGCCCCTTTCTCCAACTGCTCGTGAAGAACGCGTTATTATCAATGTTTAACAGTTTTCTTGACTCAAAATGTTTAGTTTAATTTGTTTTTGAGGAAAGGGGAACCAGCTGTGACAGACAAGAACAAGGATCATAAACAGACCAGCAACTGACCTTTAATGAGGATTTTTCTTCAGCTGTGTTGTTTAACTTGTGGTGGTTCCTCAGTCAGCTTTCAAGATAATGCAGGTCAAGATGCCATCTTGAAAACCCCTCATCATCTTGAAAATAAAACTGACCAAGAAATCCCTGGCGTTTAGGTTGGTCCATGGGACAGGTCTTAGCACGTCCCAAACGTCCCACCTTTTTTAAGTTCTGCATTAATTTAGCATTGTATTGACTATTATAATAAAGTTTGGATATAACACATGCTGTCCTTAGTTGAAAGAGCATGTTCTATAAGAGTATAAAGATAGAGCTGAGCTACAGCTGATATTCTTTCCAGTGCACTGAGTGGAAGGCCACATCAGTCACAGTAGTGCTGTCATCCCGAGCAATATTTATGTTCCTGTGAATTAAGCTGTCATTCATTCAAAACACGTGCCTTGAGAAGTTTGTTTTCTACTTGCAATGTGTAAAAAATTTGTGTGTTTTTATGAGCTTCAATTTGGCCGGATTTCACTGACCATTCTTACAAGAATCAACCATTCTTACAAGGATTCTGATTGGCTTGTTGTAGCATGCTTTATGAGAGTATAGAGCATCAACAACTCAAGAATTGAGAAGTGGGGAGAAACACTCGACTATGTTCAGTGTTTCTCCTTTCACTTCTTATGTGCTCCAGCCCCTTCTCCATTTGAGAAAATTGCAGCAATTTCCCAAAATTAGTGAGCAAAGCATTCACCTGAATCCACTCGTACTACTACTGAAAATACTGCTTGTACAATGAAGCTGTTAAATCACACCAAGCTCCACAACAGTGACTTCACACACCTACTTTCATGGTTGACAATACAATAATGTAGCAAAATTCATCATAAAATCAGTTCTTCCATAATAGATTTTAATTTTTTCAAGAAAATGTAATTATTTTAATACATTTTTTTTAATGTCTTCTAATTACTTAGAACAATTTTTTTTTAAATTTCAGGACAAATCAATGAAAATCCTGATGTAAATATATTTTTTACAACTGAATACAGATACAATCTTTTTGCTCGGCAAAATTTACACAATGGTGGTGATAACATGTGATGCATGTGACTTTCTGGTTCAATAAAAATTGCAAGTTTTCTGTGATAATCATTCCACTAGACCATGGAAAAAGTTCTCTAAGGGTAATAATTTAACCATTAGAGAAGAAATATAAAAATGTAAAGTTCACTTCTGCACTATGTAAAGAAACAGCTGACAATTTGAAATTATTTTCAATCTTAGAAATAGAGGGATACAATGTAGGTGCAGACCATAATAGGGAACTTTAAGCTTGCCCACTGCCAGATTTTGTAAAATCTGCATCTCAAGAAATGTAAAATCTGTAACTGGCAAAATTGAAAACCTACATTTTACCTACAGTATAAATTTTCTGTAATCAATCATTTTTCAATAAACATGTGTACAGATTTTAAATCTCATTTTGATATATTTTGTTTAACCTCAATTATTCTGCAAATCAGAGTAAGCCTTGAAAATTTTGGGGAAAACTCCAAATTCCTTTTCCAAACCCTCTTTCAGGTGATCCAACTTGTCCAAGTCTTCACTTATTCACAATGTACTAACATGTAATCACACTCCTGCACTCCCCCAAATGAAGGATTGGCTAATGACATGTTAAAGTGCGCAAGACAGTACAGAATGTTACCAGAATATGAGTTCTAACATTTTACTACTAATAGTTAAAAATTTACAACCATCATTGATAGGAAAAACAAAACATTTCTATATAAAATCAGCTTAAGACAACATACAAAAATATTTTCTACCCTACAGTTGATTTAAACGGCCAGAACATGAGTCAATTGCTAGTTAGAATTGAAAATTCAATAATTGTGCAAGTCAACTTCATATAAATTAATTTTAAAATTCATATCCTAGGTAATGGAACCTTTGCTAAAGATTCACCTCAAATGCCCAGCTTTGAGTAAATGAGTCACTACATGAGTTTAAAACAAGTCCTTTCTCCTTCTGATCTTTGCTATCCAGGCATTTCCCTGAGCCAACATGTCTAATCCTGTTAGAGCCCTTGTCATACTCCCAGTGCTACAGAGAGCAGAATCAAAAAAAAAAAAAAAAAAAGACAAAAATAGAGAAACAAAAAAATTTTAATTGCACCCCATAAATCTCCTTCCAAAAATGACATCTTTGGTCTCACTTTAAATGCCATAAATACATTTTTAGTTGAAAATAGAGTTCAGGTCTAAATTTTTCTTAACTGGTTAAGCATAGTCCTTTGTTCTAAATACATTATAATATCCCATACATAGGGAAGATTCCAAATGAAACTACTTACAGATCATTATTTTGAGATCATTTGCACCTGAACTCATTTCAAATTACCAGTACATAACCATGTTTTGCTCTGTACCATTAATCCTCTGATCCCTATGAGTGTCTAGCTAGCGTCTAATTTCCCCTAACAACATTACCCCTGAATCAAACATTAAGGTTGCGAGAATGAAGGAAATGATCACCAACTAAAGAAGCTTTTGATAGATAACCAAATTCTCCTTGTCAGCACCTTAGAAAATATAGGGAGAACAGATTGGGGAATATGCATACTGATGGTAAGGTGTAAAGGGTTAACTGCCAGACATGAATAATTGCATTCTACATTTCCTGCTAGACAGCATTCATCTGGTATATAAGGATTTATATGAACATGGCAAACTTTTTTCAACTATACCTGATTGGAATTCTGCTCATCACATTCAAGTAAAAGTGCTGGGGTCCCTTCTTTTTCATTGGCAGTTTCCAGACAAAACAAGTCATGTTTCAACATCTTGTTCTTGACAAAATTCCACAACTGTTCAGTGAAAAATTTCAACCAATACCATCAACTCTCTCTTGTCTGACTTAGTGAATGTGCTCTCCTATATATTCAATTTGTTTCACATTTGCTACTTTTATTCAACTGCATGTTTCTACCAGTTAAGATCTATTTTTGATGATTAATACATACAGGTAAACAAAGCCCCTTGCAGCCTTTTCAGGCAATTCACATCTGCAACTCAGTTAGATTCAACAATCACTACATGTATGAGCCTGAGTACATCAAAGATACAGGCTTTGTATGTTAAGTAGCCACTAACCTGATTTCCTCCAGCTCCATGACATTCAAACAGCCCCACAGTACCCCCACTAGTATGCCCTAGGGTGTCCATGCAGTCTTTGCCTTGCTTGACCTCCCCAAATGCTGTGGTGTCATCATCCTCAGGAACTCTATTGACATAAAATTCTTATGATAATCATGGTGATAAATATGACATTGTTTCTTAACAGCACCATCTCAGAACAGACTTGCTTTGTATTAAAGTTGTAAGTTATTGATGGAAAAATAATTGGAAAAAATGGCACAAAATACTAGTCACTATGAACATTTCTGTGATTTTCCCTTGACTCAGGTTCCAATATAATTACAATTGAACATATTTGAAGTGTTTTTCTTTCATTTTTGTTTTTTGAATTTGGATGATGCGTCTACCATAATTATATTGTGGTTTTTGGCTCTTTTCATGTTTCTAGGAAGTCTGACAAAAGTGTTTTGTAGGAAACTACTTGTAAGAATTCAATGATCATTTCAGCTATATATTATGGTATTTAGTAAAAGATGCAAGTTACATGTAGCAAAGCAATACTGTAACATATAATGTACTTTGTAACACAGAATTGTAGGTAATCCATAGGTATGATTGTTGTGTAATACAGTGTAGATTATAAAATTGTAATTAATAAACAATAAAAAAGTTATGTGATTGATGTTATTTTGAGTTAATTGTGATGTAAAGAGTGCAAACAAGTTCATTCCTTAACACATGTACGCTTGCAATATGTTTACAAGTACATGTACACTGTACAGTGTGACTACTAAGTTATTTCTGAAGTGCACTTTGATTGATCATCATTGAAAAAAAAAAAAACCTTAATAATCACCACTACTAATCAAAACAAAGGTAAAATAAAATGCCTAGGATGTGGAAAAATGCTACGTAATGATCTGGTAGCAATTGGTTTTAGTTTTGCATCTGATTGGTTGAGGATAGCAGGTGTTATCTGGAGAAATCTCAGGGCATAAGAAGGGAAGACTACAGCAATCCTTGATTACTTTCAACCTTACCCTACCCACCTGAGTTCAGGATACACATTCTGGACATACCACTTGAAAGGCTTACATTTCAATTTCTTGCGCAGTGCAAGTCGGCTTTGAATGCTGTTAAAAGAGATGGAGGAACAAAAGTTGTAATAAGGATAAAAGAAAGAACATCCACCGCAATAATATAGATTTTACATAGTAGAGAGCAGAAAAACATTCAAAGTAAAGATAATAAGGAAAATTGATCAAGAAGATTTGTCTACTCCCTAAGTAGACCAAAGCTTTCATCACTAAATAAATAAAATGACACACTGGGTCACTGTTTACATATTGTCAATCCAAATTATCCTGATGGGCACATTAAATCATACTCAATCATTAACTTTTTACATCTTCATGGACTTTGTCAACTGAAAAAGTCATAACTTAGGATAAAATAAAATCAAGTACAACTTGCATGACTCCAGAAAATGCTTGAACAGAAAACTCACTCTCCAAAAGGTGTGTTCTTAGCATAGGGGACTGCTGCATAGTAAAACTTTTTATAATCATCCATCCAAACTTCCACAGCTCTTCTTGTATTTCTTGAAAGCAGAGGCATAGTTTCAATTAATAAAAGTAATTAATTAACAATCTAGGCCCAGTTGTTCAAAGGGCAGAAAACAATTTCTAACAGATAAATCATTATCTAGCGAATAAGTGTCAACAAAATATACTGTGCTATCCACAAGTTAACAACTGCATCGCTAATTGGAGGTTGGGTGCCTGAAACATCCAGGAGCTTCCATTATTGGCAGCCAGCACCTAGATGGAGACTTCTCCCTTACCTGGCAAATCCTGGCAACCCAGCCATGAGCCCCCACGCAGGAAAGGGAAACAGGCACCCATCACACTGAATAAACAGTGGAAAGAGGGAGGGAATGGGTGGGGAAAACTGCCTGGACAAAGAGTTGCCATTCCTCACAGCGCTTCAAGTACACGCTCAAAGCACACACAAGAATGCCTCCGATGAAGAGCACATGGAATTCCAATGTATGTGTATATGCAAAAACCACTGACTACTAGAACATGCTGACACTCTTCATTGTTGACTCCATTAAATTGCATTTAACTGCATATAAATTATTTAGCATTGATATATTTAGGGTTATCCACCTTTAAAACAACTGGGGCTCGATGACTTTCATTACATTATTGCTACAAAATATTAATTTCCACCAGTACAATACACAGTACAATACAATCAAACAGAAAAATGTGAGCACAAAAATGATTGTAACCTAAGATACTCATGTATGGCTCACTCAAACAAGGAGCTTCTTTTGAGTCCTAGGTTTTAGAAATTTTGTTATAAATCTTGATACAAGAAGTTAGTTATACTTGTAAATTAGAGAAAGGAAAAAAATTGATGGCATTTATAGGAAGTGCTAAAAAACACTGAAGAATCATGACTTACTTTTGGAAGACATTCATACTTCCTCCTGGAAATTTATAAGGATGTCTATTTCTAAACACGTGACCAACTCTTGAACAAGGAATGATTTCCATGCTTCCTCCACACTGCCATGCTCTGAAGGAGATTTCTGAGTACAGAGAGAAAAATCACAACACATCAAAGGATATACATCTATGGTCGCTTTGATGAAAGGAGATAAATGCTGTCAGCTTCTTAACCCTTTCACTCTCATGAGCGGTCATGAAAGAATTTCTCCTTACAATAAATTATTGATACAATATCAAACACACATGTGCATAGAATAAGGAAAATTATATCAGTTTGGGTTTTATTAGTGATCCAATACCATATTATCCAAACCACATTGCACATGTAACATAATAAGAATTGTATGGCAGACAGTTAAGGTGATTTACATGCACTAAATAAGATATTGAGAGTGAAAGTTTCAATCTCTATCATGATGGTGTCCTGGCAATCACCAACTGTAAACATATAAGAAGACAGTCACACAGCTACCTACATGTATTACATACATGTAAACAACATCTAATATAATTAATATTAATTAATTTGCTAGTATTATTTCCTGGTTAATTTAGATAATTATTTATAATCATTTTAATTGTACATATTGTAAAGTGCCCCGAACTCTAGAGTGAGTGCTACAGAAATCCTATATTATTATTATTATTATTATTATTATCTCAAGGTGTAACTTATATCCCATCCACACCAGCAGAACATGTTTAGTTGCACCTGATTTAACCCTTTAATTCCTATGAATAACTAGGACAAAATTTCTCCATACAATATCAATACAATATCAACCAGATAAGTGATGAGAATAGAGAAAAATATCAATTTGGGGATAATTAGTTGATACAATACTAAATTGTCTGAACTAACATTATAAGAACTGTATGGCTGACAGTGAAAGAGAATTACAAATTTGATCTGGGAGAACTGAAAAACTGATTTTTTTGTAGGATTCAAGTAACTAAAAATGTTTTGCTGGTGTAAATGGGGTATACCTTACATCTTGAGAGGTATTCTCAATGTGCCACAATTAAATTTGATGACCAAGGGTCTAGCACCTTTTATAATGAAAAAAAAATTAACCCAGGTTTAACAAAACAGCTTTAAACATGTTTAAGCTTTGGTGTGACTGGGTTATTAGCTCATTACAATCCATTCCATGTTTAAAAGTAAATTCTAACACACAGTAACCATACTGCGCAACTCTAAAATTTAACCATACTGCAAGACATGTTTCGACATTCTTATGTCATCTTCAGTTGTAAATGCGATTTTAACGGTTTACAACTGAAGATGACACACAAGAATGTCGAAAATTTAACTTAGAGATTAGCTTCATGTATAGTATACAAACCTAAATTCTCTCCTCCCCAAATGTCCATGTCCATGTCATATTTACCGATCCTTTCAAACCATTTCTTGTCAATTGAAAATAGCCCACCAGCTATAACAGGAGTTCTGCAAATAAGGTGATACAAATCAAATTTAACACACATCTCCCACTGAATTACTGTAATTGATAACTTGCACACTGTAGAGGTCTGTGACTGAACGAACATCATTGAAGACTCAGATCAATATCAGTATCTGGGCAACTGCTCACCTACCCCTCCCCTAACCCAACATTAACCCTAACTTGTTATCAATAGACTGTTAGGGGAGGGGTAGGTGGGCAGTTGCCCAGATACTGATATTGATCCAAAAACTCAATCAACCCTTTGGACCCTTGGCATACTATTTCTCCTTACAATACCACCCCTGATTCAAATGTTAAGGTCATGAGAATAAAGGAAAATGATCAAAAGGAACCTCTTGATTGTTAAACAAATTCTCCCTATCAGCACCTTAGGAAATGTATGGAAAACAGTATGGAGAACATGCATACCAATGTTATGGTCAGTAAATGGTTAAAGGGCAGAATAGGGAATAAATATTATCATGTTCATCTGGCACACATACTTAATTGGAGCCATTGGTTGACCAGATCTCTCAGCAAGCACATTAGGTGGAAGAAAATCCCACTTGAAGTTCAAGTTCCAGCCAAATCCTGGAAAAATTTAACAGCCTCATTCAGTAACCTGTCACCTGGATTGTTAGCACAACTACAAAAATTTGCTTCACTACAGTACAATGCAATAGATGCAATTTACTTTAAGAAAATGAGTTGTACTGCTTGGCTAAAAAATCAGTTGTTTGCAGGACAAATACATGTTGAAGTAAATGAAATTCAGTCAAAATTGTATTTAGAGTACAGTTTGAAAGAAGGCACATCAGGATAATAACTGTAATATACTCTGCATATCAAACTATTTTGCAGTCTTTTAATTTGGTTTTATGATTTTCAGCTAAATTTGATTTTGATTTTAAACAGCAGTTATAAATTACATACTCTACATACATGTATAGCAATTGGCAAGTCATAGCATTGTTTGCTGGAGTATCATTTCACCAATATTTGACTAGAAATACCAGCACAATTTCATCATGCAATCCGAATTGGTCCAGAAGAAAACACCCATACAATCAGACTACCTGTGTATATGTACATACGTCCTGATCAAAGCATTTAACCAAACAGTTATGATTATAACACCTGCTATGAAAATATACTTTTACATATTATCAAACAGTACAGAACAGGTGTGTGTAAAGTCATGTACCTCCTCTCAGATCTGATGAGGACCCTAGGTACTCAAATGTGTCCATGTTGATCACATCAATGATTGGACTCACAATCATGTTGCGATTCTAAACAAACAGTAAAAGTCAAAATAAGTAGAATTCATTAATAGGTTGGGTTCCCCCTTTCAAAGTAAGGAATGTAAAACCATTTAGTCAGTGTGACATACATTCTTCATAAACAAACATTGCTAAGCAAAAAGGATATGGGAGAAAAGGCAAACATCAGTCAAGACCTGTTATCTTGAAAAAATGTACACTCGTATGTAACACCAAATTGATTCCTACACTGTAGTCTTCAAGAAATACAGAGCAGAAAGGAGGGGAAATTGGACTACTAATCAGGGTTTGGTATCTACCGTGGTTTACAATGTGAGTACAGAGCAAGATGTAACCGTACATGAACATTATCAATCTTAATAAATGGATCTTCCATTGGATATTCAAGTACATGTGCATGTCCACAAAAAATTGAAAATATCAACATGCTTTGGGTATATATATTTTGGCAATTGTAGTACAATTTTTTTCTCAGGTTAAAGTTTTACAAAGTTCTAAAGAAAAGAAAAACGACTATGTGTAGGTTGGCCATTTGTGGAAGGGGTTTATGTAAATAAACTATTGTCAAAGATTGAGCTACAAAATTTAAATCACCTCTTTAATCCTCTCCAGGAGTGGTTCCAGCCAGTTCTTATTGCATTCACAATGGCTGTCCAAGAAAGTCAGCACTTCACCCTTAGCTTCATCTGCCCCTCTCACACGTGACCTCATAAGTCCTGTATAAAAATATTCAATCTAAAGTTATTTAAAGGAAGGTAAAGACACTGCACTTTCCAACAGCCACAATTTTTATTTTTAAACTGAGCCTTCACATAAGCATTACATCGAATCCAAAATACAGTCCAGAACAGAAAGCAATTTACAAATTCACTGAAAAAAAACAATAAATGTAACAATGCAAAGAATGGTTGTTATTATGACTAACAAATCTGGTACCAACACCTTTGTTCCCATGGAGACAATTTTTGACAAAGAATATTGTTAGCTCTGTGTATGTGCAAAATAACTCTCTAATTTTTGTTAGATATTGAGTTTAAAGGTATCCAGGTAAAATAATACATGTACCATAATTATCAGTCATGACTTGTTCTGTTATATGGTATATGTAAATAAACTTTTCAGTGCCTGTAAGTAGAAGTTGTGTTAGCTGTAAGTTGTTTGCTGAAACATTCAAGATAACTCTTGAGGAAGTAAGAAACTTTTGCACTCAAAATTAGCATTTGTGAAGTTTGTTCACAATCAGATTGACTATTCAAGTGAAATTATTGAAGGAACTCCCAAAATCAGGGCAAATAATTGTGACAAAGTTGATATTAACTCACCTTCTCTTTGGTTATTTCGGAGTACTCTTACTTTAGGTAGTTTCTCTAAAAGCTTTCCATCCTCAGCTACAGAGACAAATGATTTTAAAATTTACGTCAACTCTTGAACCCTTTAGAATGATAAGCATCCAATTTCTCCCAAGAGTATCACCCCTGAGTTGAACCTCATGGTAATGAGAATAAAGGAAATGATCATGAAGCTCTTGACCGTTAGACAAATTCTCCTTGTAAGTAGCATAAGAAATGTATAGAAAACATTGTATTATCATTTTTTGTTAGTGTTGATGTTTCATAGTTTCGTGTTAGGTGTTAATTTTCTCGTCTTCATTAGTGTCCTTTGTCAGTTAAACTGATGTTTGGGTGTAATAGGTTCAACAGTTTATTACAAAAATTTGTCTAATTATTATGCTTATGAAGTTTTAAACACATTGCACTTTATTACAAAACTACAAAATTTCTGGCATATTTATTTTAAACCAATCAGTGAAGTTGAATAAATGTATGTTCCATATAACCACATTTCATACTACATTTCAAAATAGTTGCACTGTAACTTTGATCCTATACAATGAACAACCAAGATACAAGAACTACAAGCTATAGAAAAAGAGGCACCTCAGAACATTGAGAACTTACCATTATCACTAAAGTCATCTACAAGAATTATTTCTTTTAACAAGTTAGGAGGACTTCTATTGAGAGAACTGTAAAAAGTAATTACAACGATAATTAGTACCAAACTAAAGTGAGCCCAACAGAAAAAAAAAGTCAATTTGTGGCACCAAAACTAATACATCAGTTTACAGGGTCTCAGCAAATGGCACCAATATGTACATGAGTGGAAATTAATTAAGCAAAATATTGGTCGCTAATGATTGATTAACAAACTTTCCTCAAGTTCTCCAAACATCCTAAGTGGGTTATTAAGCTGGTAAATTGATAGAGAGAGCCATCTATTTCTTTTATAAAATACATGTAAACTTGAAACAAGGGTTTACCAGTACAATGGATGATAGATTTTGATCAATGAGGGTGCTTGTGGTGTCTCGCTTATTAGATAATGCTCACCAATGCACATGCTTACCTGTACATAAACTAATTAACTCAAAATTGGGTAAAAGTTGTAAAACAAAGTTAAAGTAGCAATATTAATTTTGATGACAAACATACAGTACCTTATGACTGTCCGTAATAAGGCAGCTCTGCCTTCATTATGGAAACAAATAATAATACTTGTTGTTGGTAAATCATCACTTATCCACAATCTTTCTTGGCATCTAAACACAGAGGAGGTATGTAACTACTAAGTTTTGAAATGAGTTCTTGATAGCCATGTACCTACATGGACATGTGAAGCAAATCAGTGGATCATTTGCAAACATTTTCCTCATCTCAGTTTGACAAGAGCTTCAATGTAAATGAAAACAATTTTTTTCAAGAGGACATGATAGGACAGCATTACAAGGTGCAGGGGTCAGAGACATAATTACATGTGGCTTACTATTCTGCCAATATCAACTGAACGTGTGTGGAATGAGCTCAAAGTAGGTTTGGATGAAACATAATGAAGCAAGACCAAGTCCTGCTCCATAAAAAAAGGAACAATGCTAACTGAATATCCAGTCATTTTGACCTCACACTTGATCATTAAGGAATTCATTACATAGCAAAAAGATAACCACTTCATTAAGAATCCAGACTTGCTTATTTTAAGAGATGGAGAAAAAAGCCAAATGTTTTTAAAGCACAATAAGCCCACAAGAGCTGTTTTGGCCCTCTTTCACCACTTTTTGCAATTCTGTGGCCGAAATTGTCCAAAAAAACTATGAGCTTAAAATGTCTGCAGCAAGTAATTTTTTTCCTTCATGGGATCAAAGCAGGCAATCCCCAGCAGGCAAGATGGGTCCATCTTTTTCACTCAAGTAGCAAATCAGAAAACAGGATTCACTTTATACTGCCCATGGCCACTGCCAGAGATGTCATGAATAAAAGTGCAGTATGACTGTTTAAAGATATACTGTATATAAATTAAAGTATTAAATATTATAGATTGAAGTATAAAATGTTTAAAAAAGACATATACTATATATTGCATTAGAGTAATTTTCAGAAGTAAGTAACTAACCCTAAGCAATAATTATACAGTCTATAACATAAGCTCTCAATACAACTTAATGTCTTGCAGTGTTCCATTTTGTGAGGGGAGGGACAAACTTTCATGAATTCCTGATTAATCAGTTGAAAATGCCCCTTGCTAAGACCATCCTGACCCTGTGGAGCCTGTGAGACTAATACTGCAAGATGGCAATTTCCTTTGCCTCCCATATATAATTATTCATAATCATGACCGGGAGACAAAACAAACTGTTAGGTTTTTTTGCTTTTAACCTAAGATTAAAATTTACCTGGCAAAACTGTATCTATTTAGTCAATATTACAGGTAACTGTGTGTATCTTTTAAAAAATTTTACTACTTACTGAGAGGCTCTCACATCAGGAACATCTCTGTTAAAGGGAGCTTTGTCGCTAGCTTCTTGATTATATGCATTACTGGCATAGGCATCTTCACCTTGCCTCACCCTAGTGACGCTTAAATAACTTTCCACGTCGAAACCTTCTATTCTTCGAGAGTCTGTTTCAACTGGTTTTCCTCTTAACCCTACAAATTCATTCTAGGATTAAATTAAAACAGAACAGTGAATCACCATGGTGAAAATCCAAGGATATATTTCCTCAAAATTCTTTTTAAACTCGACATTATATAGGGCTTCCTTTTAAAGTTACGGAGACGTGGTGTAAAACACTTGACGCCACATTATACAATAATTTATCAATTCCTACAAGAATTACAGTTACATTTCTAAACATTAGCCTTGGTAATTTACAAATATACGATCATAAAAATAATTCAAGCTTACCTGGTCATAATAAGTGTCTCGACTGTCTGTATTCTGTTGAAAGTTTATGTGAGTGTCTTCCTGATCTCCGTTAGATCGAGTGTCATCCCTTGATCCTGTCAACGGTGCCAGAAAATAAATCATACCCCCAAGCCATATGAACACTAAAATAACCAGAATTGTTTTCCGCCGCCTCAGTAATTTCATTTCTTTGAACAATCAAATCAATTAAGGGCAAAACATTATCGACAAGTTTACGTAGTCTGCCGACGTGGAAGCCATGAAAGGATGCCTTGGTAACCACGCAGAAATGGGACGATTACAAACTCATTTGGGGGGAGGGGGTGGGGGAGGAGGGACTGTTATGACTTATCACGAGGTTTTTTTCCTACTCTAGTCTAAGTCTCATTTACTACAACAAGAAGAAATTAGGATTTTAGAGACAATTGACAGCTGTATCGCAGGCTATAGGACTCAAATCTCCAAATAGCTCTCGTAACTGGCGATTTTGTGTACACTTTGAAGCGATGAAGAACAGATTTGAAGCGATGAAGAACAGAGAAGTCGCACGAGGCCTGGGACAGAATCTTTCCGTAACAAAGAACAGAGTCGTCTTCGAATGCAACCTTTAAATTCATTTTAAAAGACCACAACTCACACATCAACAGGGAATTCAGAAGAGAAGAAGCAAAACATCGAGAAATATACCAGGTCAGAAGGGAGGCAAATAATTGATCTGCGAGACAATGACGCGTTGTGATATATTGCGAAGCACAGATCGATATTGTTTCATCGTTTCATTATTACACAAGCAAGGGGTGTCTACAAAACGAAGACCGAAGACCGAAGACCGAAGACCGAAGACCGAAAAACGAAGACCCTAATTTTTTTGCCCGAATAAGGCACGGACAGTTAAAAAACCAAGCCAAAGCGTTCCTCAGCGCAAACAAAAAAATTAACGGGGATCTTCGTTTTGTAGAAAAGACCCCCTGAATCTACAAAACGAAGACCCTTACTAAAACGCTTTGTTAGACCCCAATTGACGCAAAATCAAGGGGGTCTTCGTTTTGTAGAAAAGACCCCCTGGATCTATAAAACGAAGACCCTCACTAAAACGCTTTGTCAGACGCCAATTGACGCGAAATCAATAGGGTCTTCGTTTTGTAGAAAAAGCCCCCTGAATCTATAAAACGAAGATCCTTGCTAAAACGCTTTGTCAGACCCCGGGGAAGGGGGGGGGGAACTCCTATACATTGCCTATAGGGGTGTGTGCTGCCCGACGGGGTCATGATTTCGGAGCTAAAACGCTTTGTCAGACGCCAACTGACGCGAAATCAAGGGGGTCTTCGTTTTGTAGAAAAAACCCCCTGAATCTTTACAACGAAGACCCTTGCTAAAACGAATTGTCAGACTCCAAATGACACGGAATCATTAGGGTCTTCGTTTTGTAGAATTCGAAATGACCGTGTGGATATACAAAACGAATACCCTCGATTGGATAGTTCCCTTTGGCAATGAAAGTTAGACACAAAAAGAAAATATTGTTTTATTTGTGGTTATGCAATTCTGGAATTATAGAAACTATACACAGGGAAAATGTCTTCGATTCCTGATAAAATTAACAAAATTTTAAATACTCATTCCTGTTTAAAAAACATTAACAGAAACTAAAGTAAACAACGATGTGCTAATTATCAAACTACAGTGAAATTGAAATCCCCTGTATCACATTTGCAGTGATGTAGAAGTATGTATAAAGTATGTATACAGGCATGCGTGTTCTCCCTACTATTGACATAAGCTAGAATATACGAGGAACTAATTCATACTAGGAAAAATGGCTGCGATCCTCATTTACAGGGTTATTATTCTAACAGCAACTACAGGGAAAAAAATGGTACTCATGTTTCCTTCGAAATATCTCGTCTTAGTAGCTTGCTTTCAAAATACACATTTTGCCAGCGGGTTGAGAGTGATGCACCAAAGCAAAGCTTTGCGAAATATGAGCACATAACCTAATGTATAAGGCCTATTCAGCCAATTATATTAGGATCAGTATTAAGTCACGCAAGAATGCACAGAACAAAACTTCCTTTACAAAATATGTGAAATTTTTATAGTGTCTTTTTATATTCAGTTATAACCTGTCAGTTTTAAAAATCCTTGTTTGAAAGCGTTAAAAATTGAGGCACAGCATGCAGAAACATCGGCATCACTGCTTCTATTTAAGAGATTCCAGGCAAGATAAGCACAGTTTCTAAACTCTTATATCTACCTTGATTTAACAAAAGGTACCTAAAGAAATTGATCATAATACTATACTTCTAACATAAAGCTTTTTGCAGAGATCATTCCGTGCGGAAAATCGTATCTCGAGGAAGCGTAAATTACTGTACTACATGTCTTTTCGGACCAACAATTGTATCAAAAGCATATCAATGTAATCGTGAACTCTAAAATTTAATTAATATTGTTTACATAATGAAGTAAAAGCATGTTTGAAAATAAACTTTAAGTGCAAGCGCGTGAGCCGATCTGAAGCTTTCTCAAGCCATGCACGATCTCAAATAAATCAAGGAAAACCGTTTTACATCGCCGATAGCTTCATTTTCGAGGAATTCGAAAATAAAAGCTAGCACCATAGCTGACTCAGTGACAGGTTTCGCATATGGTTTATGTCAGTGGGCGACAGGATCGGAAACTCACGCCCACGAACCGAAGCTCCGTCATAAAATTGGATAGCTCGTTCTAAATCAGGAGCTCCGAAATCATGACCCCGTCGGGCAGCACATACCCCTATAGGCAATGTATAGGAGTTCCCCCCCCCTTCCCCGGGGTCTGACAAAGCGTTTTAGCAAGGATCTTCGTTTTATAGATTCAGGGGGCTTTTTCTACAAAACGAAGACCCCATTGATTTCGCGTCAATTGGCGTCTGACAAAGCGTTTTAGTGAGGGTCTTAAAATATGATGGAAATATGATTTCGCGTTAATTATGTCTGGTAATCTCTCTGGAGCGTGAACACAACACAATCACGCATTAGGAGAAATAATAGTTTTTGCAAAACGAAGTTGAAAGAAACTGCGAATGACCAGGCCATGTACAGCGACAAAATCAGTGCGCAAGCTTCTTACTCAAGAGAAGTTGGAGGCACGTGAAGGAATGGGTACGACTATTTCTATGGTGACACTATGGCTGCAGTTATAACATTCTCATTGATTGTTTTCATTTTTTGGAGATAAGCATAAACCAAAACTGACAAGGTTTCTATTTTCAGGAAAGTTTCTGTCAAACCTCGTCTCTCACTTATCTAATTCAACACAAAAAATGTAGTAACAGATGTGAATTTAGGGATTGAAGTAGAGCATCTGTACCACTGTTAAAAATTCGTAGCGACTGCTTCCGCTCAAGATGTCTGGATAAGTTTAAAACAGCTTACAATGAACTATAATTAAAAGAACGCTACTGTCTCTTCAGTCCTCTCCATAAGAAAACTACATTAAATTTTCCACTTGGTTCACATCAGTAACAGTCCCTGCTTAGGAAAGGGAAGTGGGGCAGAATAATGATCTGTGAAATTATTTTCAGCAATACCAAAGGAAATACAAAGTCATGAATGCAATTTACGAAATATTTATTTCAGTACAGAGGCCTTGAAGTACATAATACTCAGTCAAGCAACGATTAATAAGTGACAGCAATGATTAATAACTGATAAAACATAGCACACAGCGTCAGGACTGACATTGGCAAAATCAATAAGTTATCTAATCTTACTTCTAGTTCATGTCTTATAAAATGAGAATGTCCTTTTAGAGTACTTAGAAGAACTAAGGAATGAATATGAAAAATAGTAGAAGCTGGGAAAGCTGATGCGCCCTTCCTCACGAAACCAAGCAAAGGATGAGAAAGGGACGCACGACGATCGCGGCACTTTCCGAATATCATAACCCTTCATTGTACTAGTCCAAAGTCAGTTCATTCGATAAAGTGTCCTTTTGCAACAGATTATACAACTCTACGGTGACCGCAATATTTTCCTTGTACTTTATAACCGCCTCCTCGATTTCTCTAATCATTCTCACCCTTGTCTCACCCGTAAATCGCTTTCCGTGTGTCAATCCCTTGAAAAGTAAGCTAGGAATAGCTCCGCTTAAAAACACAGCAATCGTTGATGGCACTGCTGACATACTGCTCGCATCAGTCACCAGAAATACAGAGCAGAAAACCAAAAATAGAAATATCAAAATGATAGCCATATTGCTAAGCATGCGATTTACTTCACCCCTAACTGTTGGAACTGCCCTATTTGAATTTGACGCTTCACTGCAGATGCGCCAAAATAGATCTTCTGGAATTGCACCGTGCTCGCGTTTTCCATCAAGAGTCTGCCACTTCTCCGAAATCATTTCTTTCACATCTCGGTAGTACATTTGCAGATTATAGTAGCATAGATAAATGTTTGTTAAAGCAGCGATAGAGAGTGCTAGGAATGGGCCCGCAATTGACGCATTTAACACTAGACCTAAAATAACTAAGCCAAACATGCGAGTGATACATCGACAAGAAAGGCTCCCTACCAAACAGCCGTTTGTTAATATTGCCATTAGGAGTAGCTGAAAACCAACTTGAACACCGATGAACATCGGTGTGAGATAATGACGGTATTGGTTGAATACTTCAAGGCTCCATTTTTTTAACATTTGCCTAAGTTTCCTTAAACAGACAAGCATGAGACTAAACCAAGGTGAATAGCAGCAAATGAGAAAGACTAACCCTATTAACAATACACAAAAGCATACTCCTCCTAAAATGACACCAACAACTATGACTAAGACAACATCCCAGAATAACACCCACAAAACAATGAAAGGAGTTTTAGCTCGTTTCCATGGCGGAACCATTTTCTCAATAGCGTAATGTGTAAAGAACTTTATAGATTTTGCTAGTGCTTTTTGGTGAAAGTTAATTAAACACGAAGCTAACTTGTAACTGTCTACTGCTAATTTTCTTAAGTGTCGGAGCATATCCTCTCCTACTGAAACCGTATTTTCTCTGCAAACAGGG